TGACGAGGATGTCAACATCTACAGCAAGACTATGAATGGAGATTTGGAGGTGATCAACCGCGGTGGACTACCTGCTCTTCGACTTCTTCCTGGTGAACATCGAGAAGGAGACTACGTCTTCCACTCTGACGTGAACGAGACTCCTGTGTATGTGGACACCGAGGAGGAATCCACCAACGACGGCGATTCACCGAAAGCTGAGATTGAAGAGGAGGACACGCTGGGCTATCTTTCCTTAGAGGAGTGTTCCATCAAGGCCATGACAAAGGGCCAGAAGAAGAAGCTGCAGCAATCTTTGGAGACTGTGGAGAAGGAGGACGCTGCTTTGTGGTCTACTTTGAGATCAGAGAAGCCAATCAAACCTGGAGCTTCTCGACGGCTTTTGAGCCGTGGCTGTGGCACTTTCCTCATGGAGATCTTCGCAGGAGCTGCTACTTTGACTTGGATGGCCGCTTCCTGGGGATTGCCTGTGTCCGAACCCATTGACTGCCTCTACAACTATGACCTCCTGAAGCCCGCACATCGAGCTGAGGTTGAACGAAGGATTCAGGTTGAAGATCCATTCCTGCTGAGTCTTGCGCCCATTTGTGGACCTTGGAGCACTATGCAACGGATCAACTTGGCACGTGGTGGAGAAACTCAAGCCAAGATCTTGGAAGATCGGAAGAAATGGTACCCTGTGATCCAATGGATCGTCAACTTGATCAAGGACCGACTTGGCAAAGGTCGAGAAGTGATCCTGGAGAGCCCGTACTATGGACTTCTATGGGAGCTCAAGTGCATCGACGACCTCATGGCCGAGAACCCGGAGAATGCCCTGACCGGCGAGCACTTGGAACTGATGCACATTGACCAGTGCCAATATGGACTTCGAGGCCCCAGCACAGGACTTGCTCTTCAAAAGGCAACTGGCCTTCTTACTGCATCTGAATGGATGAAACTCCGACTTCAACGACGTTGTGGAAAAGACCATCAACATCGACCTATTGAAGGCTCCAACATCAGCAAGACTGCCGAACAATGGCCTCCTGAACTTTGCGAACAAATTCTTGGAGGAGCTCTGGATGAGATGATCTATGGCAACCTCAACATGGCCTTCCCGGCGGAGCTGGAGGTTGAAGAACATCAAGAACAAGGACCATTGGATGGAGTTTTCAATCCAGATGATCTTGCTCCAATACCAAAGCGACGAAGGACTGATGACCCTGACTTCGTGATGGAGGAAAGGATGCAGGAGGATGCAACTATGGCTGACATGCCTGATGTGGCTATGAAACAAGAAGAACATCGACGACAGAATTGGCTGAAACTGCCCAGAGAGAAGCGATTAGCTCTGAGGAGACTTCACAACATGACAGGCCACTGCTCTCACGCTGCGATGACACGCATGCTCAAGGCATCTGGCAGCGATCGAGATGTGATCCAAGCTGTGAAGTTCTTCCAATGTCAAGTCTGCGCTGAGACTGCCAAGGAGGAGAAAGCCAATGTCACCAAACCACCAAGGCCAGCGCACCAGCAGCGTTTCAACTTTGAGGTGTCGGCTGATGTGTTTGAAGTACATGATGCCGCTGGAGCCCGACACAGCGTTCTTTCACTGGTGGATGTTGCCACCAAATTTCATGTGGCTGGACGAGTTGGTGGTGGTGGTGTTCCTAGCTCAAGGATCTGTGCCCAGATGATCAACACCACCTGGCTTTCATGGGCAGGAGCGCCTGACTACTTTGTTTGTGATCAAGGAGTACACAACAGAGGAAAGGTGGCACATCTGCTTGAGGCCCATGGCACGACCATCAGACAAACTGCTGCCCGTGCGCCATTTCAACTTGGAGTTGGAGAAAGACACGGAGGACTACTCAAGGAGATCATGAAGCGTGTGATTCATGAACGACAACTTCAAGGAGCAGATGACATCGCCGCACTTTGCAGCGAGGCCGCCAAGGTGAAGAACAGCCTGCTTAACCATGCTGGCTACACGCCTTCCCAATGGGTCATGGGTTTCATGCCCGAGGACAAGACAAGCATTTTCAGCTGCGACTTCGATGAGAACATGGGTGTCCATCAGAACTTGGTTTCAATGGAGGAGGATGAAAGGGGACCCCAAGATGTTTTCCAGAAGCAGCTGTTGCTCAGGCAATTTGCCAAACAGGCTTACATGGAAGCCGACTCTTGTCAGAAGATCCGCAAAAGTCTTCTGAGGAAAAGCGTTCCTATGAGAGGACCGTATCAACCTGGTGATCTGGTTTCATTCCTCAAGAAGGATCGATGGCTGGGACCTGCACGAGTTCTTGCAAACGAAGGACGATCAAGTCTCTGGCTGGTGCACAATGGTGTCACCGTTCTGGTTGCTGAGACAGCTTGCCGACCAGCAACAAGCCAGGAGATTCTCAAGAAGCACGTCTTGGAGCTTCGCCCTTCACGCAAGCGGAAGCGCATGCTCTACCTGGACGAGCTCGATGATGATCCAATGCCCTTCGACGAGGACTTGGTCACCGCCCAGAACCTACGTGATCCAGGCCAATCGCCATATGCAGATCTACAAGAAGATGATTCAGGTCGGACTGTGGCACCCCGACTTGGTGCACCTGGACCATCGGACAGCCTACAAGGTGGACTTTTTCAACATGGTGGACTACCTATACCTCCTGGACTTCCCGCACAAGCAGTTGGACCACCTCCTGGACTCGATCTTCCAGAAGAGATGGATGGTGATCCTGAAGTATCATCACCGGTTGCGGGACAACATCAACAAGAAGTTCCCACCGCGGCGCAACCCAGTCCACCGGAACCAGAGGTCACTCCGGCAACAAGTACCTCTGCTGTCGCTGCCGGGCACACTCCATTGCCAGCAGGCGAGCCGACAACGACTTCCTTAAGTCAGGCCCTGCGGAGGAGTCCGGATCTGCTTGACGGCCATTTTTCGAGAGGTTCACAGAACCGCTCCATGTACAGCTTCCTGGCCAACCGCTCCGAGAACAAGAAGCGCAAGGTCAAGAAGAAACCACAGAAAGCTGGAGCCGGAAGAGAGCTGAACTTTGAGAAGGAAGACGACGCGGTGAAGAAGGAGCTGATCCAAGCAAGGATCAAGGAATGGAACAACTGGGTCAAGTACACCGACGTCAAGGCCATTAGCAAGGATGAGTTGGAGAAGCTGAAGAAGGACAACCCGACCTTGAAGGTCATCCCAACGAGATGGGTGGATGTGAACAAGTCAGAGACTGACGAAGAGCCTCGATACAAATCCAGGCTGGTTGTCCGAGGTGATTTGGAAAACGCTACCTCTATGAGGACAGATTCTCCAACGGCATCTACCACTATGCTGAACTGCGTGTTTGCTCTTTCAGCTTGCAAGCGAACATCCCTCCGAGCAGGAGACATCTCTGCAGCCTTTCTTCAAGGCAGTACCCTCGACCGCATCTTGGTACTCTCAAAGCCCAAGGGCGGAATTCCCAATGATGATGGGACCATCAACTATGAGGAGGAGTACTACATCGTTTCTTCCACCGTCTACGGAACGAAAGATGCTCCCCGAGGATGGTTCAAGGTCTTGGATGGGACTGTGAAGGAAGAAGGTTTCAAACAAGTGCCATTTGAGCCAGCCGCCTACACCCTTTTGGATGATGATGGGCAACTGGCAGGCATGATGGTTGTTCATGTGGATGATATGATTTGGACTGGCAACCAGTTCATCATGGACAAGATGGACCGCATTTGCCAGAAGTTCAAGTTTGGCAAGCTGGAGATTGACGAGTTCAGATTTTGTGGAAGAGACGTGAAAAGGACAGCTGAAGGCATCTCCATTACATGCCCCACGCTGATCGAAAAGGTCAAGCCCATTTACCTTTCAGTTGGTGACAGGCGAGAACCTTCCAAACCTGTGACGGAAGACATCCGATCCCAATTGCGCAGCATCATTGGATCCCTGGCATGGCTTGCACGAGTGTGCCGCCCTGATTTGAGCTACGCTGTCTGCCGCATGCAGAGCACCGTGCACACTGCCACCATGGACGACGTCAAGTACGCCAATGGTGTGATCCGCTACGCCCAGAAGACGAAGGCCAAGGGACTATTCTATCCATCTGGCTGCTTTGACTTCAACAACCTCATGATTGTGGCCGTGCAGGACGCCTCCCACGCCGCTGACTTTGATGTGAGTGGATCGGGGAAAAGATTGGGACACCGCAGCCAATCTGGCCGACTTCTCTTCCTGGCCGACAAGAGCTTTCAGACATCCCGAAAAGGTGTCTTGCTGCCGATCGAATGGCATTCCACTGTCCTGAAGCGAGTATGCCGCAGCACACTACAGGCTGAAACACTTAGCCTACTTCATGGAGCTGAAGAAGCTGACCACCTACGCTTCTCCCTCTATGGACTATGGCATCCTGATGGACGTGGACAAGATTGGGAAGTGGCTGCCCAAGACGCAATTGGCGTCGACTGGTTCACTGATTGCCGATCCCTGTGGGGGCATTGCAATCAATCTGGTGCGAGCGTGGTCTCCGACAAGAGACTGGCCATAGACCTCTCCCAAATCCGACAACATGTTTGGCGAGCACCTGGCGAACTGGTGGGCGACCCTCTCCTCACCGATCACATTCCTGGCGATGCTACAACCAGGCTTTTGTGGACGAGCACAGATCGCATGGTAGCAGACCCCTTAACAAAAGGGATGAAGCATGATGGGCTGGATTCAGTCATGCGCGGTCAGTCAATCGATTTAACACCTACAAAACTTAAGGCATGTGAAACTGAAGGTGACATCCAGGTCAACATAGGTGATCAAACCAATTGACTGCCGTGCACAGCTGGGTTCAATCAATCATGCCGCCGTTCGAACGCCGAATGGCTCAAGCGACCGCCAGCAAAACAGGTGGTCGCTGCACATGCAGACCAAGCAAGTTTCTGTTCTTGTTTGGGGGCTGCTAGTTTCAAAACATAATCATACGTACGCGTATATTGTGCATTTGTTCCTTTGTGTACTTATCCACAATAACGGTGTGTATCTAGAGAGAGAGAGAGAGATTTCTCATGAAGAGTGGTGGCAGGTATCTCTCTATTGTTTCTGGTAGGCCTCCTTCACCGCTGTCAAGGCTCCAGTAATAGATCCGCCCTTCACCCATTGGGTGACCAGGTGGCACCTCGTACTTTTCCCACCGCTGATCACCTTCCATGAACCATTTCGTCTCGTCCAGTGCGTTACCTGGCGCCAAGGCCAAAAATGGTTGGCCAAAAAAAGGGGAAACAAAAACATGGATATCATGGATCAATACGGACCAATATGGATCCAACTACCTGAAACTGAGGTTCCTGCTCCACCAGGCACAGTCTTTGTCGTCTAAGAATCGGGTCCAAACCTTAGCGGTCGAAACTGGCGGACCGTTTCCAGCACGGGGCAGCCAAATTTGTGCACCAAGCAGCCCTGGGTGGCTGAGGTGGATTTGCAGGTGGTGGCGGAATGTCAGCAGCTAGTTGAACCTCGGCCCATGGTGGTCTCAAACTCAAAAGAGCCCAAAATTCTTGGTTTTCCGTCCATTTCCGGCAGGATTCGGCTCAATGATCTTTGGCTAAAGCCATTCCCATGCCACACGGAGGTGCAAGCTCTTGTGCACAAGCAGTCACATGTTCGATTTTACAATATTCTACCATAGTGATTTTATGTGATTTTTGTAGTGCAACAGTTGGAATCCTTGCACAATATCCCCTGCTCGTGTCCCTGCTCCAGTCCCTGCGCCTCGTCGTTGGTCTCCGGTTCTTCATGTTCTTCCAGCTGCTCGGGTTCCTCTTCCGGCACCGGCTCTGGAACTTTTTCAGGCGCTGGAGCTGGGCGAGGCACCCACTTGGGTGCGGCCTGGCGGCAATTTGGGCGCGCCATGGGGTCAAAAAATCGAAATATATGTAGAATACAAATATACACAAATCAAATGAAACAATTTGATACAACTGGAAACATTGAGCCCAACCCAAGCTCTGCCACACATCTTCGTATCTTTAATCTTTGTGGCCAATGTGACATGAAAGCCTCCTGTGCAGAGCATGGTTTCAATTAGTGGCCATGTCCTTTGAAGCAAACTAGGGGATTTGCCAGTTGCCACTTCATCATTTTCCCATCATAATAGGCATGACAATGGCATGACATCATGATCATCTATCTAAGCATGGTCATGTGTCGCGTAATGTTTGATCCACCACCCAGCAGAAACAGCCACCTTTGCCGAAGGCGGGGGAGTGGGCTTGGCGCCGGGCAGTGGCGGAAATGCCTCCAGGTGGGGAGAATTTGAGGGTTCCCTAGGGAGTCCTTAGGTCTGCAGGTGGTAATGGTGGTACTAGTAGGTAACTCATGGGAATTCAACCATCCCTAGCCTAAGCCCCTTTGTCTTGGTGGGTGCCAGTGTGGTGCAAGACTGCCAATCTCTGGGCTAGGGTCTTGCCCGCCTGTGTTTGGGGTTTCCATCGCGGGTTGAGGATGGTTAGGGAATGAATGATAACTGACTGAGTGATGATGATGACCACGGTGACTCGGGTCAGAATGATAGCCTCCGCACACAAATATCAAATCTTTTCCGTTCACCGCTGCATAACTCAATGGATCGTCAGCAGTGGGTACGGCTGGTCTCTGACAGGCCAAGGTAAACCTCCGATCGCCTCACTATTTCGGAGGCCGACTGCTGCAGTCAAACTGCAATTACCTGGCTTTGACCCAGGAGCAAGTAGCGTTCATCCTAAGGATGGGCTCCATGCAAACTGGCCTCAGCTCCACAGCTTGCACCTTAACTTGCCTTCTAGCATGAAGGTTGTCTACGTGTCGAGCTCCCAAAGCCGAAGCTTCCTTTCAGGCTCATTCAATCTAGACAGAAGTCAGCACGCCAATGACAAAAGACCTCAGGAGCGCCGTGGCGTTTACGACACTGTGCCTCAGCGCGCCTGCTTCAGTGTTTTTCCCTGCACCTGCATCGATGTCTTCAGTTTCCACGCGCTATTCAGTACAGCCGGATGTCATCGAATCACAATACACTGATCCAATTCCTTTGTTCTTTTATCATGCGTCACTCCAATAAAAAGAAAAGACTGCACACCAAAAGCGTTCAGGCTTAGACAATCAACCATCGTCCTTCGGGATACGAACTTGTAGACTGCACGTATATACGTGGATATGTGTGTGTGCGCATGTGCGAATAGTTAAAAACACACTTAAAATTCAGCAACATATAGATGCAATGTGTACATAATTATATATATATATATATGTGTGTGTGTATATATATCAAAATGTTGGAAAGAAGCATGTCTATATATATATACAACTGTACTATATTATATATATATACTATCCCCGTCCGTTGTTGTCACTTCACACTTTGCTTCCAAGGTTCTTAGACCTCAGCTGCCTCTGGCTTGTTACAGGTCCATATCACTGGGCCGTTGGTTTCCACCCACACCAAACCATCGCTTGTCTTTTCATCAGGGCAGTTGCTGGTGCTGATCAAACCTGTCCGCCAAAGAATGTCAAGAAATTGACTCCATAAATGTCCAAAGAAAGACGAAACCTGATGAATCTGATAAAGACTGATGAAAAAGTGAACGGAAACTGATGAAAACTGTCCGCTTCTGGCTGTGAATCCATCATAAAAGTCACAAGTCCCTAAGGGTCGCGCCGCCCCATTCCAGCACTGCATCCTTTGGCGTTGGTGGGCAGGTGGTTGCATTTGGTTGTCTAAAAATGGGAAATACATCAAAATGGATCAAAATGGCACTTTATCATACTGTCAATGTGAAACTGTGAAACCATGTTTAATCAGATTTAATCATGATCAACCATGATTAACCGTCAAATTTTGGCGTGCCCTATTTTCAGACAAACCCACCTTGGGGATGACCACCTACCAGCTCTTCGGCTTCCATCGCGGGCAAGGGTCGGTCATATCCCAGCACAATCCATGGGTCGTCACATGCACTGGACCGCCCAGTGGCACCAGGCCACACTGTGATTTCCTGGGCGGCGCCAAGCAGTGGGAGCCCTTCGTCAGCAACGCGACACAGCAGTCATCACCTCAGTGAAACATGTTGGTCATGGACGGTGATGGTGGCTGGCCGCAAGTGATGGCATGAAATTGTGGGTGCATACTTCCCATGAAGCTTCAACTCACTAAACTTGGGCATTGGGTGCGGATTTCGTGAATTTCTTCTAGGCGTCCCTGCTAAGCAGGGCTGCATTCAGGCCCTTGGCCTGTGCCTTGTACAGAGCATTCATTGCGCCCAGGGTGTGATCCATTCTGCCATCCACACCTGCAAACTGCCCTGCGATGTAGAGATGTTCGCAGGCAAAATCCTGGTGCGAGAATGCGCTCCGCTCTGCCCCGTCGACATGTGGAATGTTGGACTTCGCCCCTCAACCCCAAGCAAGCAAAAAACTTTCAAACCTGGGAGTGTCATACTTACTGCTCATGTCAATTTGCACCCAGCAAACAGCAGCCAGTGGGTTTCCATATGTTTCCATCAGCAAAAGACCGAAGAATGGCTTGGCACCTCCTGAGCTGCCGCCAAACATTTCTCCAGATCCGTGTCATCTTGGTCACTTGACCACCGCACTTCCACACCCCTGTCATGGGGCATGGCTCAACCATCAAAGGATGGCTGGAATCCATGAATAGCTCCCATCTGGCTGATTCATCCATAATTTGATATCCACCTCCACACCCACCATACACAAATTGTCATTTCCCATCAAAATGGAAATAGATAGGCCCCCAGCAGCTCAGGGGCAGAGCAAAAACTGCATCGTAAGTCGACAAGAATCTACCCGAGTTTGTTGAAATCATGCAGCAAAAACAAACTTTAAGACTTGAACAATGAACCTTAAGAGATATGATGCTTCAAACATTCAACCTCGCCTACGGCACATGGTTGACGGTTACGATGATGTCAAAATTGGGTTTATCCTAAAATAGGGCACCACTAAAATAAATTGTGTTTATCATCCTGCTGCTCCTCTTATAGATTGCTATGAAATTGGGACGAATCTATCATGATATTCCCTTGCAAAGATTGGCATAAATATGTATATATATATATATATCCAGACCGCAACTTGGGGATAAATCAGGATTTATCCCATGTAATGCTCCAATAAATCCAGATCCCCACCCTGGGATCCCACCTCTCCCTGTAGGACTCCAGGATCTCCGGCTGCGCGGAGTCGAAATCCCCCAGGACCAGCTCCGGCAGCAGCTCGGGACAGCTGCGGTGAAGATGGGAGGCACCACCATCCGCCACCAGGTGGGGCCAGCTCCTGAAGGACCGGCTGATTTTTTTTGCTGATCTAAATGATTTTAAATGGAACCTATACCCATCACCCATCTAGTCTATCAAACTCTATCAATAGTGTGCGTGTGTTTCTCTGTGTTTCTCTGTGTTTCTGTGTGTGTGTGTCTTCATTTAAATGTCAAATTGAAATGAAACTATCCAAGACGGGATAGTGGCTTGATTGGTGCCTTGGCATTGTGGGATGAAGTTAAGGATGAAGTTAAGATCAATGCCTTGAAATGCCCTTGGACGAGATCCCCTGACCCCAAACATGTCCAGATCACCAGTCAAACATTGGCAGAACAACCCTGAGGTTTTGAACAAAATACAACTCATGGGATGGGATCTCAGGTGCATTTTGTCTGTATTCTCTGCCCACTTGTGATGTGGCACGGGCAAGACACAAAAAAGGCGGGCAAGAAGCAGAGGCCAATTACTTTACTTCGTGTGATCCCCACCATGACATTTATACATTTTGTTACTGGCAAATCTTCTGGCATTCTATCTGACATATTTTCTGGCATTCGATCTGGCATTCTATCTGGCATATCTTCTGTGGCATTCTACCTGGCATATCTTCTGGCAGATGTTCTGGCATATCTTCTGGCAGATGTTCTGGCAGATGTTCTGGCATATCTTCTGGCATATGTTCTGGCATATCTTCTGGCATTCCATCTGGCATTCTATCTGGCATATCTTCTGGCATATTATCTGGCAAATCTTCTGGCATTCCATCTGGCATTCTATCTAGCATATCTTCTGGCATATTATCTGGCAAATCTTCTGGCATTCCATCTATCTATCTAGGCAAACATTCTGGCACTATCTGGCAAACATTTATCTGGCATATCTTCTGGCATTCTAGCTGACATTCTATCTGGCATTCTATCTGGCATACCTTCTGGCATTCTATCTGGCATATCTTCTAACATTCTATCTGGCATATCTTCTGGCACTCTATGTGGCATATCTTTTGGCGTGGGTACTCGCGGTTGAGGTCCGGCAGGGAACACTGGGCGTGGATACTCGCGGTTGAGGTCCGGCAGGGAACACTGGGCGCGGATGGTCGTGGTTGAGGTCCGGCAGGGAACACTGGGCGCGGATGGTCGCGGTTGAGGTCCGGCAGGGAACACTGGGCGTGGATACTCGCGGTTGAGGTCCGGCAGGGAACACTGGGCGCGGATGGTCGTGGTTGAGGTCCGGCAGAGAACACTGTGGATCGCGGATCGCAGTTGAGCAAGGACGACGAGGACGACGAGGACGACAAGGACGACAAGGATGACAAGGAGGACGAGGAGGAGGAGGAGGACGAGGCAGGAGGAGGCGGAGGAGGCGGAGGAGGAGGAGGAGCAGGAGGAGGAGGCAACTGACATAAAATCTAACAACCCTCACCTGGCAGGTGGGGAAAAATCAAGGAAGAAATGCATTGGAAGATATCTTTGGTAGTGTCTCCAATAGCTCATATCAAGGTCACTCTGGAGGATCCCAGCCGTCCTCTGCCACAAGGTCTGGAGCAAACTCTTGGACAAAGGTGTGTTCAGAAGGATCATCCCTGGACGCACTGAAGGGGCCGATCTTTGGGCATCTGACCAGCTGGCAGTTACCCAGCTCCAATCTCTATAGCCTCGGCTGCAAGTCATGGGCATTAGGGGTTCATGACTTTCCTGTGGAAGAAGACTGTCGGTCCGTCGGTCCACGCTCAGAATCAACTCATCAACGGCACTGCCAGCAAGACCAGCCAAGGAACGCTCCGGCATCGCCAGAGTCATTTTGCCACGGCCTCGCTGCCCGACGACCGCACACAGCGGTCGCTTCTTCCACAGCCAAGACAACACGCCCCTCTGCGCCATGGGCCACTGGCTTTAGCTTTTCAGCAGAATTGAGCCACCAAAGACAATGCGGTGATGTGGACCAACAGTTGGGGCGCAGTCAGCACTTGAACTGGATATAACTGGCCATGTTTACGGTGAAGTTAGGCGAATCACAAGTGAGAAAATTGGTGGAACCTGTCATCTGTCCGGTCTGCCCACTGAAGTTCCATGATTTACTGTTGGGGTCGGTTTTCCCAGCCCAGAGTTATCATGGGAAACCCACCGCTGCACACGGCCTCTGTGGAGGCAGCAACCTACCCAGCCGGACATGGGCCGTGTCGTTTGTGTCATGGGGGTGTACCCAATGAATGATCAAAAGAACCCCGCAGTTGCTGCAGCATGAAACCGCCTGTGCTCGTCCATTTGGAGGTTTGCTCACGATGACCCATTCGTAGGCTACAGCGTCATCTCTGCCGGACCATGAGAGCCTGAGGGCGGGGCTTGTGAATTGCATCATGTTTTTGTGGGTGCCTGGCTGCCCGCTGATTATCCAAGTGACCCAACAGTTCAACGGTTTCAGTCAGCACGCTGTTTGGCCAAGCTTCCATGCATCCGACAAACCAGAAAGATACCACTTCATCTTGTCGCCTAAGAACACAGCTGGCAGGCTCCAGCCATCACTCTGCTGGAAAAAAACGTCGGCAATAGATTGTGAGCATGACACTTCCATTTCATTGACATTGACTAAGGGTGCTGTTCTGCAAATCAAACAATAGGGAAGTAAAAGCCCTAGCTATGGCTCCATGCAGGTCAAACACATTCTGCATTTGCCCTTTTCATATCTTTCCATGGAACACAAAGGTCCCGCAGAAAGGCAGCTGGTTTTGACTGCGGCTCACGTTTACCATCACTCGCTGCACGAAGGTAAGCAAGCTTCTAAGAATTGAAAAAGAGAGAAACTCATAACTCATAACAATAACATGTCCAATGTTGTTTAAGATACAACTTCAATAACAAAGATATTGACCCTACATGTACAACCGAGGTGCCATAGTACAATCTTCGTGCTGCTTCGTCAAAATACAAAGTAATCGCATAGACGTGGGCTGAGCCGCTGATCTTCTTCACCGAGAAGCACGCTCCTCTGCATCTCATGCATTCGCAAGGTGGAGTTCCGTGGGCCACCATGATTTATCCAGATTGATATGCATGTACAGGTATATTTGGCAAATCTGCCACGGGTATGCATCAAACAGTTCCTGGTGGTTTGCATTAAACCTTGAAGGCAATGTTGTTGTTCCCGCCAAAGTGTTTGGCATGATGTCAATGTTTTTTGTGAGAAGGGAGGTGGCCCGTTGTGTGGGAACAAGAGGCACGACTGACCCCGCAAAGAACCACAAAATGATGAGGGTTTGACCGTTTGACCGTTTGACCATCAATGTTCCGATTTGTGCTTCAAGTTCTAGGAGGAGCAGGTTTGGTACCATTCCGCTATCCTCACCAGGATCAGGTTTTTTTTCGTGCATCGCGCCTGGCTTCCCTTGGTATATCCGCGTGATGTGGTACTTGGCATTGTAGGTTGTCTCCTGATGCTGCGGGATGGTTGTGGGATGGTTGGACAAGGTGAAAACATGAGGTGGTCACCATTGCCACCCGGGCCCAGGATGTCCTTCCAAGTTGTCCCATCAAGCCACTCCAAATCACGGACAGACTTCACCTTGCTTGCCACCTACACCAGAGAGGCCAGCTAGAGAAGCAGTGAAACATGGCCAGCACCTTGTTTTCCAAAGGGGAATCATGTAATCTGCTAAAAATCGATACAGCTACAGTAACCATGCTGCATGATGCCAGTCTCCCAATGTCTCCCAACCTTGGTCACGGCTTTCTGCACAACCGCAGGTGTCGCCCTTGGAGCGGGTAACATGAGCTGCTGGCCATTGCACTCCAGCTGTTCCCGGAAGTCCAAGGCCTGAGCGGGAGTTTTTCTGGTGGAGTCAACATACCCTCTGGTTATGTCAAAATAGCTATTGAAAATTGCCATTTATAGTGGATTTTCCCATGAAAAATGGTGATTTTCCATAGATTTTTGTATGTTTACCAGAGGGTAAATGGGGATGTACCCAACATATCCAACATTTTTGGATATATTTGGGATGTCTTGAAATGAGGCGGAACTGCCAACCCCCCCAATTATCCCAATTTATGGTCTTTTAAGTAGTGAACGGGAATTGATCCACCATTCGCTTGTTTGGCCTATTTTCAGACAAGCACACATGAGTCATCATGAGGAATTAATCACCAATATATAATCAGAATTTTGGATTTCATGAAGGGAAGTTGTTCAACACTCAAGTCCGGGATGTAAGCCAAGAAAAAACAACCCAGTGGTTGAAAATGGATTCCGTATGCCTGGGAAAATTCCAAAAATCAGATCCAAGAAATATCACAAATAGAAATATCCGTCCTGAACCTATTCTTCCAGTTTTTATGAGCCCCTAACTCAAATGACTAGCAGCCCCAGGCATGGCAGTTTGAAACAACCAAAAAAAGGATCAAGTCTCCAGTGCAAGGCGCCAAGTTCTGCACGAAAGAGGCCAATTCCAGCTGCGTCTTGTTGGTTCCAATGTCCTTTGCAAACTGCTTAGCGACCTCAATGCTATCAAGATTGGCGTCACTGGGGTCCATGGGGCGGGGGTAATCTCCGCTCTGCAAACTCTGACTTTGGCGCCCCTCAATATGCAATTGAAGTCTGAGGATAATCCGATACGAAAAGGATGGTGTTCAAGTAACAAGTTTTGCCCCTTTTTCATCTTCTACATATGATTCTGGCAACAGCCCAGTAGCCCATCATTGATGTCGTGAGTATGGCCTTCCAAGATCAGGAGCTAAAATTGGATTCATATTGATCAGAAGTGCTTCAGTTGGCACGGCACTATTCTTCCGAATCGCAGTGTGTTGTTCCCCCTGCGGACGGGATGGGCACTGGCGAGACGCGTTGGCACAGGACACTGTTCCGCCGCTTTGACGAACATATTCCTTGTTTCAGAACATTTGCGCACAAAGATCACAAAGTGTGAGTTCTTCGTCAGAATTAGTCCAATCCTTCGCTGATTCTGGTATCGTTGTAGCGTCACACCTTCCATTTTCGGTAAAGTTCCCTGTTTTGAACATGACTCCAGGTTCATCAGGTTCAAATTCAGCCCAACTGATCTGCACAGCTGGCTGAAAACATGCCGGGCTTCGTGGATTCGTTTCACCAGGATTTTGCGGTCCAGCGGCTCCTTCAAGGGCAAGAAGGAGACTGGAAGGCCGGCCCCACAATCCCAAAATAACGTAATCATTTTCCAAGAATTGGTTTAAGGTATAGTACGATTGTGCAGGCAACCATAGGCCACCCCTGTATTTCATGGTGAAACATGGTAAAACCCGTGATTTCCGCTGGATTTTCCGGTCAACCCACTGACCTTCGGCTCTTCGCCCAGGACGTCCCGACGAATGAGTTCCTCGGACCATGACATTTGACTATGGACACATAGGGATTCTGCAGCCACGTTCCAACTAATCCCTTTCCGCAATCCCTAAGATTACATGTGGGCCCAAAAGTGAATCCAACATTGAACCATGCTTTCTAGAGGTCTTCAATATTCTTCAATTGTCTTCACATCCTGTCTGATCATTAGGAGATGTCTAGCTATTGGTTTGGAAACTTGGCAACTTCAGCGGCCAAACGATGCCAAACGGACAGCACATATGGCGGCATTGAGCTTTGCAACAAACTTGCTCCAAGGCTGAAGTGTGGTAAGTTTGGAATACATATGTATCATACATATACACATATATATATATGTGTGTGTGTATACATAAATATATATATATATATATCTCTCTCCCTCTCTCTCTCTCTCTCTGATACATTCCTCCCCATCTGGCGCAAACTGTCTGGGTCAGCCATTGACATCAACCCACCCTGCAGAGAGTGCACCACTGCAATATCTCGCTCGGAGTTATTGGCATGAAGCTGGCCCCTCCTGACAGTGGCTGACTATCAACAGCTGCCAACGCTGGAAAACCCTTCAAGTCTGTCTCGTGATGTGCTCGCTGGCTAAGCATGTAGCAAGCACGAACTTTGAGGGGTGGCTGGTATGGCTGGCGTGCTGGTATGGTTGGCATGGTCCAAGATTGTTGCTATAATCTTGCTTAAAACATCTTAAAACATTTTGATCCCGGTCTGAACCTCGCGGATCAAAGGCCTTGCAAAGTGCTTGTTGGACCTTTGTTTCAGATGTTTCAGCTTCTTGCTGCCAGGCATCCCACGTTCAACACCCTTTGGGAAGACATAAATGTGAACCACCAGGCCATCTTCTCGTGGCGTTTCCTGCATCATTCCTGGCGCTCAGCGTCACCAGCCGGCATCGAGGGGATGCCAATGGATGCCACATGATGCCGCCATCCCAGGCCTCCACGGTAGAGGACGATCTGGGCTCCTTGACTCTTTTCCATCCACTCTACACGCTTTGAGCGCCAGTAGGTGGCATTCCTCGGGGCACATACCAGGGACCAGGTGACCAGGGGCAATCCTCGTCGTCATGAATCATCATCCTCATCATCCTCATCATCCTCATCATCACCCACAGCTCAAATCCAGTTTCCGAGTGATCTTGGGATATCTTCGGATATCTTGGGGATCTTCAAAAACTTGCAATTTCTTGCGGTGTCCGGCCAGGCCGCCAGGAGCAAGCTTTTGAGGTCTCTGGCACTTCGATCTTCACGCCGTAGCTGGCGGGAGTCATGTTGGTTCATAGGTCGTTGGATCGAATGGTTCACAGTGGTGATTTAAGGGAACAAGTTGAATCAAACTCAGAGGAGTCCAGTCTTTTTAAACTTAAAGGTCTGCCAACAAGTCAAGACTAGGTCCGAAAGTCCTACAACATCCTATGACTGGTGACTAGGTCCGAAAATCCTCTCTAACTATCCCCATGTTCAGTCAATTCATGGCGTGTGTTTAACTTCACATGAGAGATGGATGATGTACATGACATACATGACATACATGTGCATCCTGGTCCCTTGACGCCGCACTCCTTTTTTAGGCCCTGCATGGCTTGTCACGGCCTCAAAAACATCCCCTGAAGAATTGCGCCTGGCCGTGGCCTCACGACGCGAGGGAGCTGTTGGACTCGTAGGGCCGATGCCATCCGGTGCCGGTAGGGTCGGTGGCGCCGGATCGCTCAAAGGGCTTCAACGACACCCTTTTGAAGGGCCCGTTTCCCCAAGATGTTCTTCAACGACAAGTTGATGCCATGCGTGGGTGCATAGCGCTTCTGTGGATCTGTGTAGCCCCATTCGACTTGGAGACCTCCAATGAGGTTGGGCTCCACTTCCATGATGAGTTTCACGTCCTTAGATCTTCCAGCACCAAGCATCAAACCACTTGATCTGAACATGTTAAAAAGGTGAGGTGATCACATGGTGCCCCGGTGAACAAAATCATGCAAACAGTCATGTTTGCCGGTATGTTCCGCAAAAAGACAAACATAGCAGTAACTGATGGAAGAGCATTGCTGGTTGGGTCTCCTCCACCATTACTGGTCAGTCATACCCAACCACCAGCAAACATCACACCGAGTATCTCTGGTGCCAGCCTTCTCTTTCATCTTTTGTTTCACCTTCTCCATCTGCGTCTCGGTCAATCGCTGGGCCACTCTGACGGTGACGGGGGTGATGGACTGAGTGTAGTACATGCTCTGGACATATTCGAAGCAAATGGATTTCAGGCCGTTCAGGCGATTCTTCTTGGCCAAAAAGACCTCAGAAATGCTGCCCGAGATGTCCATGAACCACACTTCCATAAGCTGAAGCCTTCCAAATTGACTCCACCCTCCAGCACCCAAACATGGCAATAGAAAAATCCAACGGTTCCACTATTAGACTCCAAATTTCCCCACCTTCAATTACATAAGGATCATAAGGTTCACATGGGTACCCGTCATTGATCCAAGACACGATGAATTTGGGCATCACCGTGGACTTCAGAGGCGTCAACAAATCCACTGTTTGCTTCGCCTTCTGCACGGCTGTCAGCTTCGGGTTGCTCTGCACCAGCAACAGCTTCTCTAGCCACTCCTCCTGGAGGCGGTTGTCTGTGTGCCTAGAATTGCCTAGATACCGTTCAGGTTTGGTAGAGAGAGAGAGAGAGAAAGAGAGAGAGAGAGAGAGAGAGCGAGAGAGAGAGGGAGAGAGAGTGTAGGACTTTAAGAGTAAAGAATAAGAGTAAGAGCATATGATATAGGAAATTGTCTTCTACTGCCTGTGTGGAAGGTTTTAGTTCCAACTTTGGCCTCGGTGGATGCAATGGTTACCACCCAACCCCCGATTTCCGATGATTTCCCTCTCCTCCTGGAATTTGTCCTTGATGGTAAGCACGTCATCTGTGACCAGAACAACTTCTTTCTTCTCTGTTGCGGCATCCATGAGCGCCTCACGGGAAGTTGGCGATGCGAGGTAAAGCCCATGGCATCCAAGGCTTTCAAGCAGTCTTGAATCCGAAAACTGTACGTGTAGATTATACATATATATATATACATAAAATTTATGCAACTATTATATATAATAATAATGATGATAATAATAATAATAAATAATAAATAACAAATAATAATAAATAATAAATAATAAATAATAAATAATAAATAATAATAATGATAATGATAATGATAATAATAATAATGATAAAATAATAATAACAATAATAATAATAATGATAATAATAATGATAATAATAATAACAATAATAAATTTGTATATATATATATAATTATATATACATATATTATGGACACAGCAGTCCACGAAGGAATAAAATGCAAACTGCACGCAATGACAGAACCAATATTGTACCGCGCACCTTACCCTTACCCCCCAAAACGGTCAACTTCGATAAAGTCCATTCAGATCCATTCAGTCTATTCTCATTGTCTACTCCTTGCCCCAAGCCATGCCTTGGCATAGGTCACCACTGGCCCGAAAGGTGTCAACATGGAGGCATCCGCCTGTCGCGCTGTGGCTGTTGGTCGCCTCGCCCCCTGGGCCCCTTGGGGCCGCCAAACGCCCGTGAAGGCGGTGCCCCACACGGCCATGGCCACCGCCACGGGCAAAATCCAGCGAGACGTCATGGCTTGGAAAATGGGCCCTGGGAGGGAGCTGAGCCAAAGAAGACTGAAACAAACAGCCTGGAATCCATGGAATAAAGCATTGGAAACAAAGAAGGCCAAACATGGTCCAAGAGCTGTGATCTCACATGATGTCACGTTACATTCATTCACAAGCGGCAGCTGGCCTTGCAATCAGTTCGTTTATGCGGTCCTTCACCAACATCACCGCATGATTGGCCTGCCCGATTCTCAGCAGCTTACTTGAGAGGGACAGAAATGGATGCAAAGCAAACATCAACCAAACGGAATTGCAGCCTCAGGTCCTCAGGACTAACTCAAGCCATTCTCTCCGCCTGCGACTTGGAAGATGCGTAGATATTCAAAGCTATCCACTCACCGTAGGCCTGCGAAGCTGGAACGCCCTGTAATCGGCTCTAATTTTTTCAACGTGGAATCACGAATGAACAATAGCAAATATGAATAATAATGATAATAATAGCAATAGCAACAACGAACGATAATACTATGTATAAATATGTAAACAAAAATACATATGTATGTATGTATATATATGTGTGTGTGTGCGTATGTGTTAAACAAATATATATATATATAAACATACACCATATACAGAAATATAAATGTATATTGTATAAACAGTGTAAAAATATATATATATATAATATATATATATACATGCACTGTATATATAGGCTTGTCCTGGCTTCTGGAACTGCGGCAGCAGTTACGCACACGCGGGGTGGGGGGTGGGGTGGGGTGGGGTGGGATGTTAACGTTCATGTGAACTTGCGGCAGCAGTTGATGCTACGCACACGCGGGGTGGGGTGGGGGGTGGGGTGGGATGTTAACGTTCATGTGAACTTGCGGCAGGATGTTAACGTTCATGTGAACGGGACAAGTTTTACCAACCTAATTCAGGTTTGCGCGGTTCCAGAAGCGGGGACGAGGATGAGGATGATGATGATGATGATGATGATGCTGATGATTATGATGATGATGATGATGATGATGATGATGTGATGCTGATGATGATGATGATGATGATGCTGATGATGTGATGATGATGATGATGATGACGATGATGCTGATGATGATGTTGATGATGATGAGGATGATGATGATGAAAATGACCCAAATTAAACTTGTAAATTCCGGGACGAAATTTCGTCCCGGAATGGACAAGTTTTCCCAACCTAATTCAGGTGGTCCGCAGTTCCAGAAGCGGGGACGAGACTATATATACATCCACAGCTTATATGCATACACAGTATGTATATGCCCTATATATATATATACATCATTCATCCATCCAGCCATCCACCTATCCATCCAGCCATCCACCCATCCGCCCATCTATCTATCTATCTATCTATCTATCGATCTATCTATCTATCTAATCTAATCTTATCTTATCTTACCTAATCTTATCTAATCTTATCTTATCTTATCTAATCTATCTAACCTATCTAATCTATCTAATCTATCTAATCTAATCCTATCCAATCCTATCTAATCCTATCTGATCCTATCTAATCTATCTAATCTATCTAATCTATCTAATCTATCTAATCTATCTAATCTATCTAATCTATCTAATCTATCTAATCTATCTAATCTATCTGTCTATCTAATCTAGCTAATCTATCTAATCTATCTAATCTATCTAATCTATCTAATCTATCTAATCTATCTAATCTATCTAATCTATCTAATCTATCTAATCTATCTAATCTATCTAATCTATCTATCTATCTAATCTATCTAATCTTATCTATCTACCTATCTAATCTATATCTATCTATCTATCTATATCTATCTAATCTATATCTATCTATCTATCTATCTATCTATCTAATCTATATCTATCTGTCTAATCTATCTAATCTATCTATCTATCGATCTATCTAATCTAATCTAATCTAATCTAATCTATGTCTACCTGTCTGTCTGTCTATCTATCTATCTATCTAATCTAATCTAATCTAATCTAATCTAATCTATCTATCTATCTATCTATCTAATCTCTATCTATCTATCTAATCTCTATCTATCTATCTATCTAATCTCTATCTATCTATCTAATCTATATATATATATATATATCTATCTAATATCTATCTATCTATCTAATCTCTATCTATCTATCTAATCTATATCTATCTATCTATCTATCTATCTATCTATCTATCTATCTATCTATCTGTCTATCCATCTATCTATCCATCTATCTATCTATATTTCTTTCTTATCTATCCTATATGTCTATCTATTTTTTTCTATCTGTCTATCTATCTATCTATCTAGCTATCTATCTAATCTCTATCTATCTATCTATCTATCTAATCTCTATCTATCTATCTATCTATCTATCTATCTGTCTATCTATCTATCTATCTATCTATCTATCTATCTATCTAATCTCTATCTAATCTCTATCTATCTATCTATCTGTCTGTCTGTCTGTCTGTCTATCTATCTATCTATCTATCTATCTATCTAATCTATCTATCTATCTAATCTATCTAATCTATCTAATCTATCTAATCTATCTAATCTATCTAATCTATCTAATCTATCTAATCTATCTAATCTATCTAATCTATCTAATCTATCAAATCTATCTAATCTATCTAATCTATCTAATCTATCTAATCTATCTAATCTATCTAATCTATCTAATCTATCTAATCTATCTAATCTATCTAATCTATCTAATCTATCGATCCATCCTATCTATCCCATCTATCTACCTATCTACCTATCTACCTATCCATCTATCTATCTAATCTAATCTAATCTAGTCTAATCTAATCTAATCTTATCTTATCTATCTATCTAATCTATCTATTATGAGCTTATCTTATCTTATCTTATTCTATCATTCTATCTATCTATCCATCCATCCATCCATCTATCTCCACTTGCACAAATAAAATGCTCAGGAGGACCCGTCTGCCCCATCGTCATCTCCGTAGGCGTGAGGAGAAAAACACCCAAGCACCAAACCTCTCGGGGAAGTAGCAACCGTGAAACCCCGGACTGGATGCGGATGTTCTTCACGATCGCGCCCTGGGCCGTCGTTGCCCGGCAAGTTTCACTTGGGAGGCAGCGCATAGTCATTCTTTCATGCCGCCTCTTTGCCATGGAGACCGGCGAGGACATTGGTACTGCCTCGCATGAAGCTCTGCTTTGAACTGGCCGCCTAAAACGGATCCCGCTTCAAACACAAACAGCGCATCGTTGACGAATCCTCTAATGTGCAGTCATGATCATTCATTATCCATAAATCATTGTTCAATTCTCAACATTTCCTGGTTTTGACCGTGTTCTCTACATTCCCTGTGTGCACATCGCTTGATCGGAGGGCTTTTGAACCACCAAAATGTGACGGTTACAATCCCCCCAAACTAACATAGACCCTGAGAATAACACATGTTTAGATGAAAGTACTCTGGCAGGGTCTATGTTAGTCACTGTTCGTTAGCCATAGTTTGGGGGGATGATAACCCCTGCTGACAACCAGGAGCGGCCCACCTGGGATGTGGCAACGTGTTGTGGGCTCTTTGTACTCCCCGATGTCTTTCAAGCCCAATTTCTTGCAGAGCCAACCGCACTTGTGGGTCTTGAAGAACATCTGCATTCCTGGCACCAAAAGGCACCAAATGCCCACCTCAGAAATAATATAAACCCGAATCAAAAGCACCGGCGGGGAAGAAAACCAAGTGGATACAATTTCGCGAACTTCTGATGCACCCTGAGCATAGTATAAAAATCATAATGCAACAACCCAAATCAACTCCAGCATATTCCAACCCATGTCTACCTTGCCTTTCAAGCCCAGATCACCTTTGCCAAAGTCGTAGGAGGCACCATCTGTCAGCACCTGCAACGAACACATGTGCGACTCCATTCGCACATGACCATAGTTGGCAGTGTCCAATCAGAGCTTATGTTCAGCTCCATCTAGGAAGTGGCCTAATTATATCTATATAATTATCCTAATTGCCAACTGAATCAAGGTATCAGTAGGAGAGGCCTGACCCCAGGTGTATTGGAAAGCATGAGGCTCCGTAAGACATGAGCTCTCAGCCCTTCGAGGTGCTGTAACTTACCACCATCAGCCACAGACATGGCCCTGCCTGAGGGTCGCTGAGCAGCCATTGTCGTTGTTTGTCCTCCTCGTTGGGGCCCTGCCTGGGTCCAACTCACTGAAAATCCCCATGCCTGTGCTGATTTTGATTTGTCATGGTTAAGATGCTTATGTTTTGGTGGTTACATATAAATTCCCTAATGATCTTATACAGTTTTATGATGTTTTATGGTTACACCCTGAGACACCCTGGACCAGGACTTCTTGATATTTATGCTTCGCAACCAACAGTTTCCTCTAAATCAGATAGCCAGCAATTGGTGACCAATTGCAACCGCGTGAAACCCCACGGTGACATGTCTAGGCCGTCTACTTGGAATTTCTGCCGTCGTCACGATGTCCTTTGCAAACACCCTGGATATCGGCCACGAGCAGTGCTCCTGGGCCCATCACGTGAGGCGATTACCAATCATAGGCTACCAGCCAGCATGGGCAAGTTTCTTGAGAGGGTCTGCAACTAAGACACCTTTACTCAACTCGAAGGTGAAGTGGGAGAAGGCTGCACCGATAACGGCATGAGCCCCATACCTTGGGCCATGTGAGTTTCAGAATATCATGTGAAGATATGTGAAGCCTGTGGCATTGCCGAGCAGCTCTTCCCGATTGACGAAACCAGCGTTGGAAGTGAGCCTCGGCAGATCTTGGAATGCCAATCCGACGGGTGTCGATTTGATCACTGATGGATTGGTGCTGCCTGACACTCATGGATTGACGCTTTCAACTGATGCAGACTGATGCATTTCGCCCAAGTCTCTTCACAAACTCTCCGGTCACATATTGCTCGCCACCTGAGATCAGAAAAAGGTAGTCCAGCTGACAACTAGAGTAACTAGGGGAACTAGGGGAACTAGGGGGTCCATAGGATACGCACCTGGCCATTAAATTTGAGCCTTTGAATGCCTTTGACAATCTGGCAGATTTACTGAGAATGCCGATGGGTCTGCTCTCCCACCCTGAGTAGCCGACAGAAACCTTCCAGTTCTGCTTCATCTTCAGCTTGGATTGGGCGATATGCGTAGCACGGCACCTGAAAACGCTGCCAAGGGGTGGCTGAAGGCTGGAAATGAACAGCAGCCCCTATGTCATCTATTCAGCAATGTCCCACAGGTTGCACATGACAAGTAATGGAGTGATTGCAGAACATCCTGCTGCTTCTGGCGCTGGTCTTGCGAAACCAATATTTCAACCCTCTTGCATGTTTTGTGATGGTCTGAGCAAAGGCACGAAGTCCAGAAAATAATCGATCCCAGCATGCTTGCGACACATATGTCGGAAGTTTCTGGCATAGTAGTGAGCGACCTCGACTTTCAGGTGTTGATCAAAGCTGGACACCAAAAGGTAGACGGTTTTCGCCTTGAAGATCTTAGGGTAGAAAAAGATCCCGCATATGTCACCAACAATAACCAATAAAAATAATAAAACAGGGAGCAGCAAGTGGATGCTGGTTTAAACACCCAGTCGCAGCGGTCTGCTTGGCATAGATGTCTACCGTGGTCCTGGGCCAACCCAATGAGGTACCCAGCCTACTGCCTCAAATTCACCGAAGTTTGCAATCATCCACATTCTAAACACATTCATGATATATCCAAGCATCAGTGGGTCGACATCACCTTCTTCCACCCATTTACTCATTTTGGCCACCATTTGTTCTTGGTTTCTCATCCGCAGGCCTCGGGTTCTTCATCCGGGGTGGTTTCCCTAAGGCAAGTATTTCATATCAATCATATCAAAAGACAGGGAACCGTAATGTATCGCAACGCATCTCTGATGAGAAAGCAGAATTTCCGTGAAAATTGTTTGCAACACAACAGCACCCATGGGCCATCGCCATGGCTGTAGCAAACGAGGCACCCATATCTCGAAGTCCGTAGCCTGCACAAAGGGGAACACTGATCACGAGATCATCCCCCATGCACTTGCTGAGTTGCAAGCTCACTTCCCACTTACATTCACGTGCTAAATGGGATAATCCTTACAGAACCAATATGGCTATCATTCTTCAAAAATGTTCAGACCACGTCACATGCTGATGGTTTCAGCCAAGCAGCAATGCCGCATGCCTCCTTTTGTAAAGGGGTTCCTTCGGATGGAAACTTGCGTCTCCTCACTCCTAGAATGAAAATTGCCTTGGCTGCAAGAAGTTTCAAGGGAAAGATGCACAGATAAGATTTCGCGGCATCAAATTTCCATCTTGACACCTTGAACACTGGTCAAATTTCTGGTTCACGTGAAGTCCATCTCAACACACATTAATGCATCTTCAACCAGCATGTGCTATGGCATCGAGCGGCTTCCATCAAACTCATAGAAGATCCTGTTCGCCTGAACCAACATCTCTGGCTGGGAGGGTGTCTCACGCGCGGTTTAAGGGGAACTCTACATAAAACCATTGCAGCCATTGCATTTCCCAGCAAACATAGGATCTTGGGGGGTCCTAAGAATGTTCCCTGCGTCCAATTCTGGCGCATTTTTTTTCCACAGATTCACCTCACATTATCTCACCCATCCGACCCCAACTGGTTCTGAACGATGCGCCACGCCTTGATGTCTCGTTTGCCGAGTTCATCTTCATCGAGGTCAAAAATAACGTTTCTTAATTCAAAGGTCTTGGGTTTTTCTACACTCTCCTGGTCGGCAACCGCATGATTTCCACCAGGACTTGGAGGCTGTTTGGCAAGGGATGGCAAGGGTACCGGGGCACCTGGCAGAAATTTGGCACCACCTATTACCACCACAAGTTTCCCACCACAAATAGCTCATCGATTGTATCTAACCACCTGGTTTTGCAGGTCTTTAAGATTCTTTAAGACCCATACGGCCCATACGTGTGAGCCATTCCCAGGTCCCAAATCGTGGAGAATCCCCATAGGTAAGCCCGGACGGCGGAGCAAATTGGCACTAGTTTCTCCGGATTTGTAGCGGCGTGGGGGCCTGCAATCGCACCATGAACCATGAAGGACATCATGCTGAAAAGAATTGAAAAGTGAGATATGTACAATAGTAAAACATGGTGAAACATAGCGAAACCACATAGTGAAACATATTTAAAAATAAGAGAAGGCAAACAGCGAGAGCCTATCCTATCTGTTGATCTGGCCAATCTCAACTTGACGCATCCGTCGCTCGATGCTTTTGCAGATTCTTGGCAATTTCAACAGCGATTTGCCTTTCTGATTTGGAATACAACGCTCGGCTTGAAGACACTCAGCACATATCCTTGAGCTAGATACTTTTTGTCATGGACGTGCTCAGGGCCACCCGGTGGCTCTGGTGGGTATGTGTCATCCACCCTCAGTGGCAAAACTGTCACAAACTTCTCATAGTCCAAAGTGAATTTGAGTTCCTTGTGGGAGGAATAGGCGGACGCAGTCATCTCTCCATAGTGCCTGGTGCACACAGCAAGCATAGTGCCGTGTTCTTTGTGAAGCCGCCCCAAATATTTGGTGGTCAAATCCCCAAAGCTCTCTCCAGCATCTGCCGCAACCATCGGAAGATCATACTGATATGCGCAAAGAATTTGATAGACTTTGCGAAAATTCCTCAGAGACCAGATCCACTTGAGCAAACAGCGAAATATTGTGAAAATATTGCCCATATCCGTGTTAGCTTGAATCGAAAATATCTATAAAAGAAAGAAACAAAAATTGGTTGAAAACCAAAACATCGCGGGGTCGAAAATAACCAAATAATAAGACGTCAAAACGAATAATGCTGCTAAACAATGTTGGGGATTGTTGGGGTGAAAATGATTCCAATGAAATAGAATGGTTGGAACTTAAGCCCATCACAATTAGTTTGAATGGGACAAAGTGGCTGCTCTATAGGGCCCCCGTCGAATCTCGCCGAAAACATGGCAACCCGGGTGTCTTTGCCACATGGGATGTCGCTGGCAATGTTTGCACCTTTTGGGGCAGGGGGTCAACCTGAGAAAGAAGTTTCAGAACTTCACTGGCAGCCTCTTGCAATTTTCCTTTGCCATGCCTGACAAGGGGTTCCAATGTCGTAATGCCACCAGCCTTCACATATGGCTTTCTTGCTCTCACCACTGTTTGCGAGGTTTCGTAATGCCCTTGCAGCGTGCCATTTGGCATCATTGCTGCCAGTGACCACCAAGGCCACCAGCGCATCCGCTCCACCTTCCCGGCTGATGGCGACTCTGTTATCATCGGAAACCACTGCCCAAGTTCCAAGCTGTTCCGCGACCTTGGCCTTCTGCTCATCCTTACTGTTTTCCAATGCCTGGACCTCGGCTCGCACCATCTCCACCGAAGGAGCCTTCGGCGAAGCCTTCGGGCTTGGCGCAGGCCCAGCATCCGGCCCAGCATCCCCAGAGTTTGCAGCGTCGCCATTGGATCCTCGGGGCAAGCTGTTCAGAATTTGCCGAGCCCATAGCCTTGCATCTTCCAATGCCTTGTCTTGAGTCTTTTCCAAGGCCTCCAGGGCTGGGGCACCGCCGGCGGCGACGATTGCAGCCTTGTTCGGGTCATTGTTCTCGGCCAAGTAATATAAAGCAAGTGTAGCATTCTCCTTCCCTTTCTGGTTGCCTTTGCTGAGCGCAGCCACCAGTGCAGGAATGGTGCCGGCGCCGATCAGGGCTGGCTGAAATGCTGCCTTGGATGCCAAGTTGGACAGAGTACGCGCAGCCTCCATCTTCGCCACAGGGTTGTGGCATGCCAACAGTGCCACCAGTGCTGGAATGGCTCCTGCTTCTGCAATGATCACCTGGTCTTCCTCTTTCAAACAGCTTGCCAGGATTTTAGCTTTGATGGACTAAACAAAAACACTTGGTGTGTGATCCGAACATTCCAGGCAAAGGCAGCAAAGCTTTGCGACTTCTACTATAGTAACTTCATGAAAATTCTGTTTCTCGTGCCAGCGTGCTGACCGAAGCTAGAATCACCTCCTCATGTGACATAGCTCGAGCCGAACTGTCAAGCGTAGTTAGCTTTTAGACCCAGGACCTCTTCTCATGGTCCCAAAATGATCTGTTGGGTGGGGTTCGCAAATATCGCAATCACTATGCACCAATGCGCTCATCCCCACCGCAATATTCATCTCTATGTATGATGTATGTAATGAAATGTGTCTGAAGCAGGGAAGTAAATTTGGCAAATCCTTTCCACTCCCAACAAGCCACACACGAGTTTTTTGTAAACTCACTCTACTCCGCTCGCGCAATCGACTGAATGACCATTATCTTTGGCCCGACCATCATTTCCAAATCATATGTATATTGCCCTGGGGGTTTTGCGCGACACTTGCTTCAAATGGATCTCAAACTGGGTTGTATAGAATCTCCCCCTCAAAAAAAAGCAATTCGAAAAATGCAGTTTTGATGAATTTGGTGGCTGGTCATTTCAGGCTCGACCCATTCCTTGCACTGCCTGTCCTTTTTTTTCTTCTTTCTCTTTTCGCCATTCTCAGGACTCTCGTCCCCCGCTTTTGTCTGGCATGGCCAATTCTGCGAGACGCAAGGGACATGTTGACATGCATTTCTGCAAGGGCTATAGTCCTTTCCGCTGAATCTGATCAAATCCAAGACTAAGAAGATAGAAAAGTCAAATCCTACTAAAACTAAACATGGTATGTCTTGTGACTTGTGTCTATCTCTTTGGGGATTACTATAAATAAATCTGGTTGGTGGTGTCAATGGGGATCATCATCCCTTTGTTGGATGGAAAATAATTGAAATATGTCAAACCAACCAGAAAATTGGGGCTTTATCCGTCCAAATAGAAATACATTGCTACTAAACTCCCAGCATTGAAGGGAAAATGGAACAGCAAAGCCTTTGTTAACCAGAAAAAAACTTGGGATCCTCCAGGTTTTCCCTAAAAACCAACCCAATGATCAACTGCAAGGTGTGCCCATTATTGTCTAAGTTAGTTTATAACTCCAATAACTAGGCTTTACAGTAGATATATATATATATATCTATACTTCGTGGGCTTCATAAATCAACTGCTGGGCACCAACTTGTGGCTACCGGAGCCTCTTTCTTCGCCAAGGACACGGTGCGCGAAGCTGTGATCGTGCTTGTCACCTGATCGCCGTGACGGCACCCGAGTGAAAACGTGACGTACCGTGACGTACCAATTGTGTCACCATTGGACCATTTGCGTACAGAATTGCAAACATATGCGTATATAATATAATATAATATATATATATAAGTACATCTCTTAGGATTACGATTACAGGATGTGTTTCATATGTACTAAAGAAATGCATCCTGTTTCAATATTTCACTATGGTAACACTTATTCGCGACATCTGAAAGGGACCGACATATCTGCACCATTATTGAAATGTGGCACATATATCATATATACATACTTGAAATGTGACACATATATACATATATGAACATACATACGTGTATATATATATACATATACATTTACACACATAGTTGTGTGCATATATAGGCGGCCTTTCTTAGCCACGTAATTATTTCACGATTCTTTAGCCACGATGATTTTTTTTGGCCACGAAATCAAGTTAAGCACGAAAAAACCCTTAGCCACGCAATGTTCCTTTTTTACATTCCCACTTTTTGTTTCCTTTTCTCTTTGCATCCTTTTTTTACATTCTTTTTTAAAATCCTATTTTTGTTTCCTTTTCTCTTTGCATTCATTTTTTTGGAATTCCCATTTTTTGTAAGTTTAAGTAAATCTTCTTCGTGCTTCAAGAAAAACATTATTTCAGGGCTAAGCGGTCTCTTTTACTTGGCTAAACCTATTTACGTAGCTTTAAAAAAAATCAAGGCTAAGAAAAACGGTTTTCGTGGCTAAAAATTGGTCCCTATATATATATATGTATGTATGTATGTATGTATGTATGTGTGTGGTATGTATATATATACATATATGTATGCATGTATGTATGCATGTATGTACCTATTGATATAGATATATAATGATATATATCTATATATACATATAATACACACATATACGATATTATCGATATTCATGTTTTCGTTTCCAAGTCGCTGCGCCGAAGGCTCCGCGAAGGGAGGTGGTGCTCGCTGATGCTCGGTGGAAGTGGCCCTCCCCCACCTGGGCGAGGTCATAGGCAATTTCTTATCTAAGGTATATCTAAGGTATAGTGGTAATTATATTCCATCAATTATATTCCATAATGAAGATATATCGTGGTGATATGATGGAATATCATTGGGATATTGATGGATATTGATCTATGATACCTTAGTGATCTTAGAGTTGTTGCGACTAGCGGTGATGATCGATCACGTTGTCGCTAAATATTGCTGATAACTGATAACGTTAGACGTCATCCACCAAAGGCCTGAAAATGATGGGGAAGCCCAATGGTAGCTCAACGCAGAGTCGACACCAACGATCAGTCCAGCCCCCAAGCTGCAGCTGCAGATCTCAGCACTGCATCTGCTTCATTCTTTTCTTTATCGCGTGAGGTAAGGAATTCAAGGCATTACCAGGCGGTGTCCGTAACACTGCACTGGTTCTTATTGTCTCTCAGGAAGCGCTTGGCGAAAATGCGCCTGGCTGATAGTAATAGTGGGAGCAAAAGCAATGGACAATGGACATATATAAAAGAAGACCAATTACATATAATGTACTGATATTTACATATCTATATATTTATATTTTTTCTTTATTTAGATTCATATGTTCTCTTATCTATTTATTCATGCATATTTATTTATTTATGCATTTTGGTTTGTATTTATTTATTTATGTATTTATTTAGAGAGCTGGGGACTGTGAGCGTGCCCTTTTTTTGACATTGCAAGATGGTGAGTATCTTCATCTAAGTGTCAGTTGACACATGCCTCTAAGCCAAAACCCTCATACTGACGAGATGTCCTTCAAATGTATAGCTAAAAAAACATATTAAAGATGGTTGAAGATGGAACAAAAGTAGTTCTTCACATGCGCAAGCAACACAATACATAATTGGTGACATAACTGCATAGATAAAAACCCTCGTCAAATGAGATTACCGAGATAAATTTACCGTTCAGAAGTTCCGACGTGTGTTTTTGCAGGGGCAATATCCAAACAAAATATGAAGTATTCCTTCAAAAGTTGCACCATGCCCTTTGAAGGAGTGCAGTGTGCATTTCCAGATGTCCAACCCTCCTTTCAAAGGAGCAGTACCCCTTTAGAAAAGTCAATATTTCTGCATAACATATGCAGTATTATTGACATAGAGCATCCCTTTCAAAAGTGCAACATGTTTGAAACTGTGAGCACTATTAAAGAATGCTCTTTCGCTTCTTACCACTGAACAACAGAATATTGTCCTGTATGGCAAAAAAAAAATCTTCCTGTAGAGAAGCAGCATTCTTGGAAAACTGGATTACTTTTGTTTGACATGTGTACTCTTCCCCTTGGTCAGATCAGCCCAGCCTTCATTTAGACAACTCTCACTTACAGAAATGTGTTCAGTACAATCCAACAATAATGTTTTCGTTAAATCAAATATCTCACTCATATCAGCACAAATTCAACAACAGATTCTTCAAGGACGACCATACTCTTTCAAAAGAGTGCCACATGCATACAGCATACAATATGTTCAAACAATGTTTGATTGTCTTAAGATTTAAAGATGCACAGTCTTCAAATTACAATATTTTTCAAGAGGAGAGCTGCCTACACCAAAGGGTGTTATTCCCAAAATATGGTGCGTTGTCTTGGAAGAATATCACATTATGCATTCAGAAAAATGAGGTGCAATTGTGAAGGACATATTTTACGTGCTTACATGTACCATGTGTTCGTGATTTAAGAAAATATTGTGAAAAGGGCATTGCATGTGCAAGATGGTTCATTTTTGACATAAAGTAGACTAAGACATGACCTACTTCAATGGGATGCCCTATCATTTTAAAAGAAATGCACTTGTTGAAGGGAGCACTCACTTCAAAGAGATGCATCACTCCTTTTCAAGGGAATCCTCAAAGTGTTTGAACATGTGTTAACTCAAGGTTTGAGCCAACAATGTCCATCTCAAAATCAGTTCTACACATTCATTGGCTGCCTATGTTTTTGCATTTGTTCAACACAGTTTTTGAAAAACTACATAAACAGACAAAATTGCCTAATCTGTGTCCCAAGCCCCCAAGCTTCCTCCAGTGATACCTGCATTTTGCCATGGGTTTTTACATGGTTTTCTAATGGAACCACAGGCCCAAAGCAACCAATAAAATCAACCAAAAGCAAGTTTGCGCCCCTAAAGTGGGAGAACTGGCAAAGAGTGAGGTCTAGGTCCTTGACTTTTGTGTTGTTTTGCCAGCCCTTCAAAAAACCAACAACGAACCAAAAAACAAGAAACCAAAAAACTAAAAAGCCAAAAAAAAAACTAACCCCAAGGAACCCAATCTTTGTTACTTTCATGAGTCTATTTTTTTGGTGGTTTTGTTTTTGTTGTTGGTTTTTTGGGTTTCTTTTTTTTGGGCTTTTTGGTTTTTTGGTTCTTTGTATTTTTTGTTTTTTTTTCCCCTTTTCCTTTTCCCTTTGCAGAAGATTGGCATAGGCCAACAGACATGCAGCAGACAAATAATTGTTTTTCTAGAAAATTCGAGGAAAACTATTGCAATATGCACGCTGGTGGTGCCCTGTTCTGTTTATTTATGTATGTATTTATCTATTTGTCATTTACTGTATCTCTGATGAATTTATAGAGCTGGCCCTTTTCCAGACAAAAAATGCAGGCCCGGGAAACGCCAATCGAAGACATAGAAATGGTGTCACAGAGGGAAAGTGGGCCAAATGTACACAAGTCTGAAACACATGCGAGTCACCAGTAGAGGAACATCTCATCCGGCGCAGTGTCGGTCATGTACTCAGTGATCATCACCGAAACAAATGGTGGCTTGTTCTCTTGCACCATGTCCTGCAGTCGCTACCCCGCACCCCTCCATGCCGAAATGCCATGACCTCCCCACCATCGCCTGGATCATCCCCAAAAACACGGCCAGCGAACGCAGCATCACGGCGGAATAGTCTGGAAGGCTTGTTCCAGGCTCTTTGGGGTCATTCAGCTTGATGTTTTCCTGCGGCTGGAAACCGTGCTGGCCAAGAGACCCTTTGCAAAACTCATGAAGAGGAAAGGAAAGATCAACGGCTTGGATCTTATGGGGGAGCGTGTCAAGAGCTGCATATGCATATGCAAGATCCCAACGTTGCTCCTGCCGGGCTTTCAAATCCAGCAAATCGTTGGTGAAGAGAGCGGCAAAGAGTGATAAGACCACAGGATTCATGTTCCTTGGTTTCTGGAAAGGCACCAAGACTTTTGACCATCATTGACCATCCCTCTCAGCAACATTCTCCAGACTCCAGAGTTGATTGAACAAAAGCTGGGTACAATTTGCGCTGATGCTTGGACTTCCCACCAAGATGCTCGGTGGAAAAGCCCAGACTTGCGGCACCATCCGCATAGGCCTCGCGAAGGGATGTCACAGAAAATTAGATAAAGGCAACTAATAAACTGTGTGTGTGGGAAAAAAGATCTGAAATCCATTTTAAAAAAAAACGCAACCAAAACCACTCGGTTTGGCTTTGTGTGTGTGGGCGCGGGGTATCCCCAAAGCAACTGGTTTATCCCCATGTTTTTCTAATTAAGTTGATTTTGGTTGTATACATTTTCAGGCACACCAATTTATAAATTGTGGCCATCATGGGCCATCGCACATGTTTGGGACAAAGAGACTTGCGGCCTGCTCGCGGAATGGTAGGGGTTTACAACTTTTGAGGCTGACCGGACGGATCTCCAGACTGTCCTTAGATTTCACGATGCCGTCTCTGGTGGTTCCGTTCGAGGGCAAATGAGATGTCAAGGGAACGGAATATTGATGCTTGAATCGCAGACTGCGAGGAAGCCATTTCTTCATGACTGAGCCGGCTCTCCCCTTTCAACTTGCTCTGAGATCGCGACCAACTTTGCTGGCGGTGGGCTTGTGAACTTTTCGCAGTGCTTGATGCAATCCACCGTCTGCATGGCCGGCAGAACGTGTAATTATATCCGTGTGTCAATTCAAGTGCCTTTGGGAGCTTGGCTAGTTATGGAAAGGCACCAATTGTCAAAAGCTCGCTGAAGCTGCCAAAATGCACTTGACAGCTGAACATATTCCAACATTAGCAGATGGAAGGCGCTCCGCATTTCTTGACTCAGGGGCCTGCCTTTCAAAAGCACATCTCTCCCGGCCGCACCTTGCATGTCTTCTTACACGCCTCCTCATCCACGTCATCAGCAGCATAGGATGTCTTTACACAGGACTCGCTGACGCAAGTCTTCAAGGGCCTCCACGCAGGCGATGCAAATGATTTCCTTTTCTTCAAGGCCTTCCCCAAATAGATTGTTTGTTTCTGGTCGGCTCTGCAACTGCCGAGCTGTAAACCAAAGACCTCTTGTCCGCCCGCGTCTGGGCACCCACACACATAAGTCTTTTCACCTTCCCCATCAATCTGCGAGAACTCCCAGCCATGGCCACAAACTTCTTCGCCATCTTTCATGAAGCAGGTGGGACTTCGGCGCCTGCATCAAGCAGCTGAGATCCCATCGGTCCACTCCGTCCACTCCACTGCTGGCCGCCTCTGTAGGACGAAGGGCTTCTTGTCGCCGACACCAAAGCTTGGGGTTGCAAAGAAGCTGTCCCCGATGACTGCCTGGTGCTGTGCTGTGAGGAGATCGCAAAATTTTGAGCCACTAATCTTATGCCACCAAGGCAACTCCTGCAGTACAGTTTTATCATATACGCAATAAAAGCAATGTATATATATATATATTTATTTATTTATTTAATACAAAAGTTATTTATGTGTAATATATATGTGTGTGTGTGTGCAAGCCTCCACATGTTTCCTCTATTGAAAGGCTTGGCAGAGTTCGCAAGCAGAGGCCAGAGGAAAAAGTTGATTAATGTATGATTCCAGAATGTGGTGCAGCAAAAAGGTCCAAAGACACTGGACTTGACAGGTTTGCTCAAACTAGGCCAACTGAGACCGTGCAAAGAACAATCAACATGCTTCAGTGGGATTGGAAACCGGAAAATAAATCCATTCAATGCGACCATACCAGTCTCGTCTTGGCACAACCTGAGTTGAAAACCTCAGATCTTGAGATTGCTCGAACAAATCGATAAGCATGCGGTCCATGAACCTCATTAGAATGCCGAGTACTGCAAGCCCTGCCAAACACCAGCCTTTCCCAGGCTGAGGTTTCTCGCAAAGAACTTGGTGTGCAGTTGATGTTCCTCAGGACGCCCCTTTGCAGCTGCCCTCCTTGAAAAGCAAAAAATGGCTGTGAATGTGCCCTCGAAATGAACGACTCTGGACTTGGACTTGCCCAAGCCACATGCAGGGCCCCCACTCCCCATGCTGCCAAGGGTCAGTGCCATCCAAAATGATAGTGGCTGCGGGCGAGGGCACCAGAACCATGTCCCCCAAGCCGTTCTTGGCGCTATCTTTGACCGTGAAGCCTTGGCACAAGAGCTCCTTCCGCCGGTAGTCTGCCATCATTTTGTAGAAGTTTGCCATTTGGCACTTGTGCTCAGAAATCGTTTGGTCAACGTCCTCCTGCGTATAGACCTGACCATCAAAATGAAAGAGCCCATGTCCCCCTTCTGAATGATAGAATACAGTGGGCTTTTACTAGCAGTTACTAGATGTTACTACTGTAGCATCTGCTGTTGCGCACTTAGGTGATCACTGTTTCACCCAACTCCTGGCAAGCTGTATCCCGTAACCCTAATAATCCTAATAGGGAACCCAAACATTGAACTCCCCCGTTTGGAACTTCCGCCTTCGTCCCCTTCTTTGGCGGTTTCCCGGTCGCATCCAGGTACAATTTTCCAGCCCGTGCAAGGCCACCCGAGAAGTCATCGGCCAAACCCCAATCAATCAGCGTCAGCGTCTTAGATTCGTCCTGCAGGGCATGGATCAACCTTTGGGGCCACCGGCTTTTCACTTCGAGATGGTGTAGAGATAAATGTTCAGGGGATACCACGACACCAAGATCAAAGGGAATGGAAGCACTTGGCCTTCACTGCTGGAAGTTCCTAGATTTCCCTTCAAGTTGCCTCCCAGTACCAGTTGCCGGGATGTGGATCTCCCTGGAAAAAGCCCCTCTCCACCATAAGATAGCCATACAAGCCCATGATCGAAGGATAGATATTCCTCCTCCAATCCTGCGGGCCCCCACCATGCTCAGCAGTCTTAGCATTTTGAAGCAACAAGCAACACAGCACAACTTGGCTCTTAGAGGCTTGGAAGCTGTTTAAATCGTGGGTCCAACACAGTTCAACACAGTGTCCGTGTTTTTTTGGTGTGTGTGTGTGAGTGACACTTATCCCCAGGATGCGCAATACATAACGCAATCCACCACAAAAAGTATCGCAACGCAACGCCACGCAATTGATGTAACTGTATGATTATGTGTGCGTGCATCATGTGTAGGAGTGTGTAGGAGTGTGTAGGCCTGAGGCTTTGCAGCTTTGCAGTTGCAGGTCCCTAAGATCCGTAAAAACCCAAAGGATCCCAAAGGCATCTCCTTGAGTTTACCTGATTGTCCGGAGATCGAGGCATGGTAACTGGTCAGCGTGTCTCCCTTTGCAAAGCTCTGCAGCATGATGTAGCGAGACCTGGCGACGGCGCCTCCCTTAAGGTCCTTAAGTTAAGGACTCTGGTGACATCGGGATCGTTATCTGTAAGAATCTTGGTCTGGTTTGCCCTTAACCAATTGAAAATACTATCTACATCTGACATCTATAATACATCATAATACATCATAATGCATCTATATATATATATACATTTACTTTTAATCATCCCAATTAAGGAAAAAGTTAAAGCGCTGCCAATGTTGTTCAGCAAACATCAGTTGTTCTTCGCACGGGCTTGCTACAAGTGACGGTTCGCAAGTCACCACCCTGCTTTGCCTGTCACTTGTTCCGACGAGTTGACGTGCAGTACCGGTTCCACCACTCAGGTTCACTACAGTATATCCACTTATTAGTATGGAGGGGATTGTTTCTGGCAATGTCCATGAAACAATACCATCAGTGAGCCCTTCAATCTCCCATCAACGTCCACAGAACTAAAAAACCATCCGTGGCCATTTTAATTGCCCTCCTTCCCAGGCGCACTTGGTCATCAACACTTTGGGCACATCAAAGGTGATGCCATCAACTCCCAGTTCTTTCTTCAGCTTCACATCAGCGTCAAAAGTCTTCACAGCAGCACGCCCTGCAGGAAAACTCACCCAATCACCCCATCTCAGTTGGCACTGCGGCACCATGAAAATGCTACTTGATTGTGCCCAGCGTTCAACGCTTTTGACTTGTGAATTTTGTGACGTGTGACCTCTCTTGCCTTTTCATTCTCTGTGAAATATCTTATGTATTCTTATGTTATCCAGGTCTAGGTTTGAAAGCCTGGCCGCCAAACGCAAGGCACGGAAACGGTCGGCAAATTACTACAAAACATCCAAACCGCTACCAGCACAACCTCAAGCCACCTGCTTTTGCGTTGAGGTCTTCAACTCGCAAATCAAATTCATCCATGACTGCACCCAAACCTGCACAGGAGACAAATTGATATTTGGAGCGGTCGAACCAGTTTATCAGAAACATCTCAACTCAAGGAAAAATGCTCCGGAAGAAGAAGAAGAAGATGAAGAAGTAGGATCCACAAAAAATGGAGTCTATAACTATATATATATACATATATCAATACATTTGTTTATTAGATTTCCGTTGTTGATCCTGCAAAACGCCAAAATGTCCAGCTTTCTGCCTTGTCGAACTGCTTGCCAGGTATCATAACCAGCTGATACGGCATGCCTGACCCACAGGCTTGAAATGGCTGTGAAGCTAGTCATGTCTCCAAAGTCAAGTCAAGTCAAGCTGTAAGCCGCGATGCTGGTAACTTTGGTAGCTGCAAAGCAACTAGTCAGCCGCAACTGGGTATGATGTATGGTATGAAAATCTCCCACTGGTACACTTGACTACTGTATGGTATGGTTTCTTCTGGTTGCCACATGATCTCCCGTCTTCCAACCATTTCGTGTCATCGCCTGATTTCCTCCATCTGTGTCTCATTCAGCTTAAAGATCCATGCCATGCTGGATTGGGCCAATCCGCCACCTGAAATCAGCTCGGCGTTCTCACTTCGGAAGGAACGCGGTTAGCTCCAGAATCTGGAAGGGCGCAGTGAAAATTCCAAACAGATCCAGGCCTTCCAGTTTCTCATGGATTATCTTCAACAGGTCGTTGCCCAGAAACTGGATGGCTTCCCAATCATCCTCAGCCATCGGCCACCACTCACAATAAATGGTGGATTTTCGTGAATCAAGAATCTTCCAAGACTAGTTATATAGGACAGTCAGGAAGTCATCTCCAAAAATCTCAAATCCAGCGGTCCCGCCAGTCCTCGTAGTTCTTCTCATTCTCATCAAAGACCACTTTCAACACCACGGCGCAAGTCGGCTGACCTGCCAGCGGCAAAAATGTCAGGCCCTTTTGCATCACTCGATCCAATCCAGGAACGTGATGAGCATGAGCCGCGTGATTTTCTGCGATGAAACGTGCTGAAATATATGTTTCGCACTCGGCGCAGTCGCCTTTGTCACAGAGATCGCGGACGCGTGAGGAGGCATCCGGCTTCACCCAAGCCCTCAAGACCTGTGCCACGCTGCCTGTGGCCTCAGGTTGCGGAACCCTCCAGATCTGTGAGATCAACAAGTGAGTGTCAAACTGGAACCACAAAATTGTAACTCATGAGGTCTTAGGCTTTCAAAGTTTCACATGTTGCATCATTTTACCACCCAACGTGGTTTGGGTTGATGAATACATACCCTTCCCCACAAAAGAAGCCATTTTCGAGAGGTGAAATGAGTCAAATGCCCAGTAAAATGTCATAGCATCAATGTTTCCATGTAACCTTCCTGGAACCAACTTCCCTGAGACATGGCCGTGTGTGCATCACAACTGGTCTTTCATTTGGAAAATGATGAGTCAACCGTGAGATGGCATGGTGTTCCCAAGTTCAAGACAACCCCCATGTTTGGTCAATGCTGTATCCATCTTTATCCCATGTTTTCTCCATTGAAATTGCTATGTTTATTGCCATGGAGAGAGACGTCCTCCAGGAACCATCAGGAATCAGCCCCACTGAAAATGAACCAGTTGCCAAGGTAGAGTTCAGCGTCAGGTGTTCATCAATGCTGGAAATGATCTGCAGACAGGTCCGGTCAGCAGAGCAATCTCATATACCCCTTGGTGCTGCACCTATGACGGCCGTGGATGATATTCGTGGCTTATGCACCCCCTCACAAATACCATCAGAACCAAACAAATTAGAGTTAGATCCGATCGTTACAGTTGGATGCAGCACTTTTCATCTTTAAAGTTCCTCCTCACCCTTTGCTCAAGCAATTGGTGGAATAGCAGCATGACTGAGCCCACGGCATCGCCGTCGTTCGTTCGCTCCTCGTTTTCAACGGCTGCCTTCAACTTCTCCACCTCAGCATTACTGTTTGCACCTTTGAGGTATGGAAAGCCACAGTCGCAGACGTGTCAGTGCTCTAAGCCCACGACCACGTACTGTCTCACATACTCCAGGCTTTTGGCTGGGTTCTCGGTCTGAGTTGACTTCAGGGCAGAACGCACAAAGTCATCCTGGTCAGGCCGGTGTTGAACGGTGACAGTGCGCTGTGGCTTGTGCCAGTGCCACAGGTCACCAAGGAATTGTGGTTCTGGTTTCACCTGGTTTTCCCCATCCTGGTGGCAAAACCTTCCCCATCTTCCCCCTCCTTGACCACGTCCGGCTTCATCGCCAATGTCTGGGAGACCTTGGGCATGATGCCCCCAGCGGATTTGATCTCATCCACCATCAACTCAGCACAGGCGTACTTCTCCCCTTGCTCCATGGGGTGGCCACTGGAAGACCTTAGAAAGATATACAGAGAGGCACAGGGAGAAGACAACAGCTGGCAGTTGCACAGGCATAAAACAACTGACAAGTGCCCAAAAGGGGGGCACTTGCATGTTCAAGAGTTTGATGATAAACATTGATAAACCATTGATGAACCATTGAATTTAGGGGTGGTACTTTTTCACCAACAAACATAGGGAATGGAGATTTCACTTGGTTTTCTTGCTGGCAAGACTGAGTTTGGCCGCAAAGGACTGATGCCACATGATGCCACCTATGCTCCGCACTCACCATCTTGGATGTAGTTGACGAGAGCGATAGCCTGACTGACATTTTGATGCTGGCCCTACATGTCCGCCCTTAAAAATCTGAAAGACAACAAGGGGGCAATCGGCTGGCCCAGCAGCATCAATGCAAAGATATGGCGTATATATATATAGAGAGAGAGATATATATATATATAGAGAGAGAGATATATATATATATATGTGTATATATATATATATATAGATATAGATATAGATATAGATATATCGATATAGATATAGATATAGATAAAGACATAGACATAGATATAGACACGGATATGTATATATATATATATAGAGAGAGAGAGATGTGTATATATATATATGTATGTAGATTGAGCACACATTCCCCCCAAGAATCATGACACAAAGACACCATCCTCTCCCACTCGCTCCTTCTCCAGCTTTTCCCAAAGAGCCAAAGCTCGCCAAATGATGCTGATGTAGCTACGATCTGGCGGTTGGCTTTGTGGCAAAGTCTCCGCACCAAATGCTTTCTCTCATCGCAGGGTGGATCGTCTATGGAAAAGTCATCTACTGAAAAGACTTGAAGCACCTTGGGCATGGAATTGTTTGAAGGTCTTTCTTGAACAGTACAGTTGTGCAGTGTTCCATGTTCGTCTTGAGATCCAGTCTCAAACTCAGGCAAAATCCCACCATGGTGTGTGAAGAGACTGAAGTAGCCACGCATGCTGCCCGCAAGCATGCGCACGATGGCATGTTGGGTCGAGCCCTTCTTGTTCATCCACTGAACCTCAGGCTGATAGCATCTGCACCACATTCCCAGAAGAGATGAAGAGAGGTGGAAAGGAGTGCAGCCACGTGACCCAGGCCAGGCGGCTGCTATTCACGGACAACATGCACCTAGGATCCCAACAAATCTGGGAATGATTGGACAAGACGCCAGACCGATCCAGACCGTCTTTGCTGATGCTTCTACCAGGTGCTGCCCTGGCACTGGCTGGTCTTCAAAAAGAAGTCCTTCTTGATGTCTTCGGACTGGGAATTGGCCCCAAATGGTGCAGGTCAGCTGAGCATCCTAGAGCTTGGTTATCCTGGTATATCCTGGTGCCATCATGTGCCAGCAAGCCATGAATCCATCGAGTACTATAACCCAGTACTTTCTGGTGCCCAACGACACATATTGGAAGGTGTTTGCATCTGCCCCTCCCTTTGAAACCTGCCTCTTTCTTGCCGGCAGCGCATGAAAAGAATCCCTGGCTGGTGCCAATTTTTAAGCTTTCCACCTGGTCCACGGTTTCAACCCTCTGAAATTGACATCTGTCCATTCCATAAATTATGCGGGAACCTGTTCTGGTTGCTCTGTTTGTGTTCCATGTTTCTTCCTTACCATTCAGGAGAAGATATAAAGCCTAAAGAAATATCCAGAAGAACTCCAAACAGGAAAAACCGCAAGGGTGATTAAGGAAGAAACATCAGACATCAACATTGGAAACAAAACGGCAATATACAAACAGGATCAAACAGGAGAATATATTAATATATATATAATTATATATATATATAACCTGTCCCAGCATCCCCCCTATACCATTCTTGTTGGGGGAAGATTTTCGATGGACCTCCCCACAACTCAGTGCCTCGTAGCTGGCACCCTCCGCAGCGGTTCCAAGCACCATGGGTTTCATGCGTGGGTAGGTCAAGGCCGTCGGCTCACCATCCTGGATGAATTGGAACAATCTGCTTTGAACAGACAATAAATATCGATAAACATCGGTATTCTATGATCCTCTATGAATTCTATGATCTCTGTCCAAGAGGGGGCCCAGCCCCAAATGACAGCCAAACAGAATTTACAGATTTTCAGAAACATTCGGCTGCTCTCCTTGTCTTCAGGTCCCAATGGCAAGTCGAGGGGTGGCAAGGCTGCCCCCTGCCTGGCTGCAGGTTGGCCCGACTTAACTTTTGGATGGATACAGGAGAGAAATAGTGGATAACATTGGCCAAAGCCGCGCTGGCAAAACCGCCAAGTTTGGTGGATTTGATGTGCGACAATCCAGATGTTCATGATGCTGTTCTGCGTAGTTTCTTGGATTTTGATTGACCTTGGGCCCCATTGGGCTTTCGGTCATGAAACAAACCAAGTCTCTGATACTGAGCAAGCAGCAAGCCAATGCAGCCCACCCCACCCCCATAGCCGTGCACCTGGGTAACCTCTGACCAAGGCATGTCTCAAGATCTTCAATCAATGGACCACCCAGAAGGAAAGATTTGATTCCCTTCATGGACTTTCCGGCTTTCTTCGCCTCACATCCATTGATATCATTGATGAAAAAGTCCAACCTCAGAACCTGTGCTCAGTGATGTGCGTTTGATCGTCCCATGGCATGGCAGCTGGTGTCTGATCAATGATAACAGACAAATAGTGCCTTGATCACCAGGAAAACAACCAGCAGTCAAGGTGATTGGTACAGAGCACCTTCTCCTTCAAGAACACGGGATCGTCTTTGTCAAAGCAATACCACTCACGAGTCAGGATGCCATCAGCGTTCTTCGTGGCCTTCATCAGGCACACGGCTGAGACTAGGGTTCTGTTTGGTGAAACATGGATGGATGTTCTGTATGCAGGGGCCTTCCAAACATTCCGCAACCGCTAGTGCATTTGCAGTGGTTTTTGGGCCCTGTTGTAGGGGGGTAAGTTGAACGGCTTCTTTCTCCTGCAACGCATCCTCTCAGCTCCCATGTCGCAGTTCTGAGAATCAGCCCTTTCTTTTTGACTTCAACGGTGTCTCTTGCATTTGCCAAGGCTTGATCTGTGCTGTTTGATGGCAATTCCCCACAAATTCACAAATCTAACCCATTAAGTGCATGTGCGCTAAGTGCGCTACACCTTCCCAGCTTGCTTTGGCAAGTTCATGAGCCAGGCGGCATTGGGGCATAAGTAGATAAACGTCTCTCCATCAGTGCGCTGGTAGACAGCCTCGAAGCCAACTTTGACGTATTCTCGTCCTTGGAAGAGAAAAGTGCCTGCTGCGAGCAGCAGCTGACTCATTAGCGGACCAAAAGTCAGTGCAAAGTGTCCTTTGATGATTCACAATCCATTGATTTGTTTAACGACAATGGGGTACACCCATAATCCTCCATGGTTGAGAAAATCGGTTTCCCCATAAAAGTTGTCATACATTCCGAAATAAATCCTCGCATTCTCAGACAACCCATTGTGCGGATATCATCTGGTATCCCCCAGGTTCAACACCTGACATCTGAGCAACGAATGTAGCGGTATTCGCCCTCACATTTTTTCAGGACTTTGTACTCATCGCTCTGATCGCTCTGAGACCTCGGGAGAAATGAGACCCTCCCAAGATCCCTGGCGGTTGCGATCAAGCTCCAGCCAGGTAGCGGTGAGGGCACGACTCCAAGGTAGCGATATTCGCAGCTGCAATCTCTCTTTGCAAAGGTGACCTTCTCATCTTTAAGCGACTGGTAGAAGAGGTTCTTTTGCTCATAATCTTAGCGCCCAGAGAAACTGAGATTACAAGATATGTTCGAACCTGGAGCCCCCCCCATCATCAAATAGTTGTGCCAGGTTATTCCTGGCATATCAAATGAATGAAGCCCGTTCAATTGTTCTTGATGGCCAGTGCTTTCCCGAACAGCTACTACAGTATGTATCGTTGATGCAGGGACCTTCACAAACGACCATGGTGAACCAATCATCGTTTCAGAGTCTTTATTGAGCCCAAGCTACGAAGGGTGCGGAAGGGATGGTCGTACTTGCCCTTGGCGGTGATTCGACTAGTAATCCTGGCTGATGGGAGCGATCATACTTTGAGGGGGGGCCCAATGGCCCGAAAACGTTTTTTTTGATGTTTTTCAGCGAGCTATGGGCCAAGACATGTATGTATGTATGTATGTATGTATGTAGGTAGGTAGGTAGGTATGTAGGTATGTAGGTATGTAGGTATGTAGGTATGTAGGTATGTAGGTATGTAGGTATGTAGGTATGTAGGTATGTAGGTATGTAGGTATGTAGTAGGTATGTAGGTATGTAGGTATGTAGGTATGTAGGTATGTAGGTATGTAGGTATGTAGGTATGTAGGTATGTAGGTATGTAGGTATGTAGGTATGTAGGTAGGTAAGTATGGATATATATATATATGGATTTATATATATATATGGATATAAATATATATATATATATGGATATATATATATATATGGATATATATATATATGGATATATATATATGTGTGGATATATATATATACTATACATATATATATATATGTATGGATATATATCCATATATATATATGGATATATATATATATATGGATATATATATATATATATACATAATGTTGAGGTATCCAATTGGTTGCACTCCAGTCTGACCATCTGTTGACTGATACCTCGATACCCACATTTGCAGCCGGCTGGGTGAGCCGTACCATGGTAAGATCTTTGCGCCAAGGCTCTTCTGGATGAGCTTGTACTTTGCCAATTTGCCGGTCTCTAGTAACCAGCAGTCACCCACGACCACATCATTCGGCACCTCCAGGTCATCAAAAGCATCTGTAACATGATGTAACATGGCATCGTTTCTTCCAGAAAACCATCATGGCCTTGTTTTTTCTACACCAAAAGCCCAAAAGGAACGCCATCATGGCGGCCTCCAGCAACTTGGTTGGATCATCATCCGCAGCTCTCAGACTTTTCATAGACATCCCGAGATAGCCCACATCATCCGAGGCTCGACGGATGAAGGCCACACACGTGGGAAGCGCATCGCAGCGGGCCTTGGAAAGGAAAAGATCTTTAAACTCTTTGGAAACAAGAACTATGATGGGTAAAAGAAGGCATCAACTGATACATATTTATATATATATGTGTGTGTGATATATATATATATATGATATGTATAGATTATAGAAAATTGTAGGTACAGTACCCAAAATTCTACAATGTAGATGTAGACACGCAGATATGGGTGCCAACGTCCACATGGACATAGCTGTGGATGTATGAACACCACTATGATTTGCAACTATGCGGGTACTTTACAAACAACTACCCCTACCATGAACCAAGACATAGAAAGTCAGGTGCCATGCCAGCTGAGCTTGAGACTCTGCATTGGAGAAAATCCTGCGGTCCCAAGTAAGGAAGGCATTCCCCCAAGATGTGGGTCCCAAAACGGCCATGGTTGTCAACATTTGTCAACCATGTCCCCTGCCAAAACCATGAGGCTGATTTGGAGTTCCCTTATTTGTGGAGATACAATGTGTGACTTGACACCTAGACCCTCAGAATCTTTGATCTTGGCGCAACGGACCTGATCTTTGTAGTATGTCACCACTTTTTTCCAATGCGTGCGCCTGGCAAAAGGGATGGGCAGTTGCATGGGAGTTGATGGACAGGCCCATTTCCCACGATTCTTGTCATATCTCCATGAAAGCTGACGATCTGTCTAGGCGGCCGAACCATCCCAGAATCAGAGCAGCAGCAACTAAAATGATAAGAATCAAGTTCAATGTGACTTACAGTGAAACCTTCATGGGATGTTCATGAGTTCAGTGAACATCTACAGAGTTTCACCATTGGGCAAGGGTCTGATGTTCCTACAAGGATCTTCCTCAAATCAATGGGAATTTCAGGAACCTAAATTGGAGGTACCTACCATATATAAGGCCTATATAAGGCCTATGTAAGAGAATATCCCCAGAAAATATGGCCCTATATGGTACAGTACCTCCATTTTAGGATCCTGAGATTCCCATTGATCAAAGGTATTGCGCAGCTTCGGATCTGCCTGAATGTGCCATCACGTGGCTCCGGTCTGCCACGCTCAACTGTATACCTCTGCGGCGTGCTACGCGGAAAGCACCTATGTCCCTCAACGCCTTTTTGAAAGCTTGCGATTTTCACACATTGAGTATGAGTCAAAAATTGGTGCCCGACAATTGGATGGCAAGAATCATGTCATGAGGCTTTGTGGGCCACAGATTTTGAACCCAATTCCACAGTGGCTGCAGTGCAGTGCCACAGAGGCACTGGCAGGTGGTCTTGCTCCCGCCATCTTTCTCTTGAACCAAGGAGAAACTTGTGTCACGACGAATTGCCGCAGTAATGACGAAAAGGTACACCAAGCGCAGCATACCTTCCAGAGGACCAATGGAATTTCAGGGAGATTTGGGTGTCCAAAAATGAGGGCAGACTGTAAAGGGCGCAAATCGGAATGAATCCGCTGGTTAGTTGTAAAATTCCTGTTTGAATATAGTTGAATCGAATACTTGGACGGGGGTCATGTCATGTGAAGAACAATGAGCCCACAAAATTTGTTGTCTTTAGCATTCAACCATGTTCAATCATCCATTTTGCAGTAGCAGTTCCACCAGATTTGCGAAAGTAAATTTTTGGGCATCCCATTGCTTCCCCTTCATCAGATTACAATAGACAAGAGTCATTAAGTATCCGCATCTCTGCCACTTTCATGCTGTCACTCTATAGTCCTTGCCAGTGATAACTTCGTAATCATGCTGCCGGTTCCATTTCTGCATACAATGATTGACAATGATCCCTGGTTTCCTTGTGATCCTCATGTTGTCTCAAAGGCTCTGGGCCCTCTAGACTTGCGGAATTTACATGAATTTACTATACTCTCCACGGCCCTTCCCTGCCTCACAAATGGAATTCTGTTGGCAGATTCTGGGGATTTGAGCCGGAGCTGCAAAGAGCCAGCTCCAAAGTGTCAAGCGGCATCAAATGTCACATGCACGGAGCTTAAACAGTAGAAGAGTAAGCTAAGCATAGAGTTGGTCCAGCGCTGGGTTATCTGGGTTAATACCACAAAGGGTGGACCGTATTGGCATGTCAGGTCCCGTTCGCTTGGTTCTGGGCCTCCCTACGGCTGATAACTGCTGAAGAAATGCGAAGACCTTACAGGCATAATGTCTGCATCAATGGAGGAGAGGGAGAAGAGAGGGAGAGAAAAAGAATCACAAGCCATGAGACTTTAGAGCTGCAAAGGAGGTACGACATATCTGAACTAGTAGGACCCACTGGCCAAAATGACTCAGGAGTTGATGTGACCAAATCAACATCAACTAATGTATCAACTGAGAAAACCAACTACACCACACAGGTGATCCAACAAGTTATCCAAACTTCAGCCGCCCAGCGGCATCTTTGTCATTGTCCTCTTCTCGCTGCTTGCACCTTGCACGTCCATCCACAGCACCACCAGCTGCTGCAGAGGCGCCAGTCCCAAAGCCAATGCAGTGCACCTGTTGGGTCTTCCAGCTTCGCCGAAAAACTGGCGTGTTCAATCATTTTGACCCGTAGTAATTATAGCAATGTGTGACTTCACGAAGGTGACCTGCAAATACCTGTGGTAGAATCGCAAAGGGCTATTGTCATCCAGTTGGCGAGCCCACTCTGGAATGAGATTACTGAAGTGGATAAGAACTTTGAAAACCCAGTATCGAAGCCCTTGATCTTCTGCAGCCTGTGCCATGAGGATTTAGGAAGGAATCAATACCAATATCACCCCCTCAATGATCTGCATGGGCCCACGATCTAATGCTGGCACCGCAAGCTCTTTCCGACGAGATCGGGTTGGCAAGAGGTCCAGCTGGACGGTGTTCAGCATATCCTGTGAATCGCTGGGTTCTCCTGCACGAGACTGACAGTGAACAGAACGGTGTGCATAGCACTCAATCCGGAACTGAAAAGCATCACCCAAACAACTCATCTAGAGCTGCTGACACATGCTGAAACCATCATCTTGGGATAATCAAGTGCCATTCAAAGCAACCGGCTCCATCAGAGAGGAAGACCACGTCGACCGGGCGATGCTTGGAGTCTTTGCGGGCACAGGACGCGGCGGCCCTGAGACCTGCCCCGCTGTACAGAACCAATGTATGAGACAACCATGGGAAAACCTATAGCCTATAACATGGGAAAAGCTATGAGAAAACGGTGGTAAACCATAAAAATCGGGAAAACAAATCGGAAACTATTGGAAAACCTTCTAAACCCAATGGTTGACGATAATTATCCGCATTTACAGTAAATGGCCATAATGAGAGGTACCCCGGTACCCCCCCATTTTCAGACAAACTCATGCGCTGCCATGCCAAAAGAGTCAAAGAAATGCATCATGGAATACCTGATGTTGATGACCAACTCTAATTTTTGCAATGCCTGTCATCCTGTTTCCCCAACAGCCTTCTGCATAGAAGGTGCGGCCCATCGGCTTTGGTCTCTGCATGCCATTCAATAGCTTCGCAGCTTTTTCCAGTGGCTGCTCCTGATCTCGCCAATCTAACAGGAGAGAATTCGCAGCAAATCCAGAACCTGTTTTCATACTTGGGTATGATATAACTATATAGATCAATACAGTAACTGGGGGGTATTCCATATGTAACTGGGGTATCATATGGCTGGTTTAATTAGTGGGATGGGATGTACCCCCACCCAAGACTTGCTCACCGGATAGCCGTTGAGTCCTGGAAGTGGATGGTGGCAGTCTCGCTGAAGGTGATGAAGCTCATTCGATCATCACAACCCGCTCGAACACCATTCTGGACGGGATCAAACTGGTATCAATTGATCTCAGCATCAAAGCATCATCTCATGACAATTCCATACCATTTCGGTATAGCTCATGTGAAACATGTTTTTCTAAATGTGCTTTCATGTGCTTGTGCTTTTGTGTTTTGTATATTCTTTCCACTTGCAAGGGTCAATTGTCCGGGATTACCTGTCATGCTGAGCAAGCGTCAAGGTCAACCAGCTGACGCACTTCGTTGAAAACCGCATCGATACGCGAAATGGCACCTGTGACTCCACTTTCCCGACTGATTTTCAGACACGCAAACTCCCGCAGTGCGAATGATTTTGACAGTTTTCCACTCACGCCGCGCTTTGTATGTAGCCATGAAGACTTTGACTTTGACCTCTATAGTGTCGAAGAGAATAGCTATGACTGTCCCCGATCTTGACGTAACATGAGCAACATTGCCACGGCACCAGTCTTGAACCCATCTTGTTTGCAGTCAAATTCCTGAGCCAGGTACCAAACAGCCGGAGTGCGTGGAACGTTAGAGCTGCAGCCCAATTCGGACTTCTTGAAAGGACATTTGAACAGTTACCAGTCTGCAGTGAAATCATCCACTTCAATCAATCAAACATGTCATGAGATAATAAGAAAGTCCTCAGCAGTAGGCATTGCAGACCAGATTTTGTTTTACCCAGATCCATTCCAAGATGACTTGGGGAACCTGCGGTCCTACTGGCCAACAAATTGGACGGAGTGAAATTCTAGACATTTTAGACATAAAATTGGGGCATTGCCCCAAATATGGATGGACACTAATAGAAGATCTTGATGGTTCCAAAAATTACCCAAACCCATGGGTCATTCTGGCTCACTGATCCACAGCAAGAGTTTCGCACATCGACCCCGAGATGTCCACGACCACAATGAAGTGCGTCTCCACCGGCACGCGCTTTCCGGGCCGATCCTGGCAGAAGGCTGTTTGAAGGAAACATGGGGAAAATCGGAAAATCATGGGAAAATGCGCAAATTGGAGTTGGATGTGGGCAAAAAAAACGCCACCACCCCATTGGTTCATCTTGAATCAAAATATATCAATCTATCAATCTATCAGCCTATCAATCTACCAATCAATCAATCAATCAATCTATCTATCTATCTATCTATTAACCTATTAACCTATTGACCTATTGACCTATTGACCTATTGACCTATTGACCTATTATATAATCTATGAATCTTAATAATCTGTGTGTATGTGTGTGTGTGTACGTGTGTGTGTGTGTTTGCGTGTGCGTGTGCCTGTGTGAGCCTATTGTGTGTCTCTATGTGTGCATAATATATACATATCATAAGGAAAAGTTGGAGATCTCAATCCTCCCTTTCCAAACGCACCTCGCTGTCGCGACAGATGCTTGTATTGGATCTGATTGAACTATTGGAAGTCATCGAAATCGACATGTCTTCACCTGGAGGGTGAGCAAAGCTTTGGTGAGCGATTTGTCGTGAAAACAAGATGCAGCCCACGAACCCGAATGCAAACACGTAGAACACTTTTGTGAAACAAGTTATTTGAACAGTCTACCTTTTTCCCCTGTTACCGTACCAGTGCACTGTGGACTGTGGAATGCAGAAGAGGGTGGAGTGCAAAGTGTGGACTGCAGAGTGTAAAGTGTGGAGTGTGGAGTGTAAAGTGTTGAGTGCAGGGTGTAAAGTGTGGAGTGTAAAGTGTTGAGTGTAGAGTGTAAAGTGTAAAGTGTGGAGTGTAGAGTGTAGAGTGTAAAGTGTAGAGCGTAAAGTCTAGACTGTAAAGTGTAGAGTGTGGAGTGTAAAGTGTAGAGTGTGGGTGTGAAATGTGGAATGTAAAGTGTGAAGTGTAAAGTGTAAAGTGTGGAGTGTAGAGTGTGGAGTGTAGAGTGTGGAGTGTAAAGTGTAAAGTGTGGAGTGTATAGTGTAAAGTGTCGAGTGTAAAGTGTGGAATGCAAAGCGCGCAGTGTAAAGTACAAAGTGTGGAGTGTGGAGTGTAGAGTGGAGTGTGGAGCGTAAAGTGTAAAGTGTGGAGTGTCAAGTGTAGAGCGCCTGCCACGCAAAATGACGATGGAGGTCTCCAAAGTGCTGCGCCTGCCACGAAAACTGCAACTCACCAAAGTACCGCGCCTGCCATACAAAACGACTTTCGACACGTTATCAAACAGGTTGGAATGTCACAAAGTGCCACGTTTGCCACGCAAAACGACATGACAACCTGCTTGGAAACCTTCGAAAAGGAGAGCTTTTGCAGCTTCCCCATAGACACGGCGACGGCAGAAGAAAACCAGAGAATCGAGACGAGACATGTAGGACCATGTAAGAGCCTCAAAACGAGCATTTCGTGCGAAACTTCCTCGAATTTTCATACTTTGTAGCTTCAAAATCGACGTGTTCCTACGAGTTTTCTCATGAACCTCCAAATTTGCTACCTCAAAATCGATGTTTCGTGCAAGATTTCCGTTAATTTTCATCACATCTCATAAAATGCCACGCCTGCTACGGAATTTGCACGTTGTCACCACTTCACGCCGCCCTGACAATGCGATTCGCGAAAAACACGCTCTGAAGTGCTGCGCCTGCCACGCCAAATGACGATGGAGGTCTCCAAAGTGCTGTGCCTGCCACGAAAACTGCAACTCACCATCAGAAAACGACGCCAAGGTATTGCGCCTGCCACACACAACAACTTTCGACACATCACTCAAACACCCCACAGCTTCCATCCTAACCCAAACAAACTTTCCCCAAAAGCCCAAAACTTAAGCAGGGCACCCAACCCTATCACGCGCCATTGGCGACAAAATACGCGGCCCTGGGCCTGGCACCTGCCTGATTCATGAGAGACAAATTCTTGTGCAACTCTCAAGCCCTCAGCGCATTCCCCATATTGGGGGCGGGCAGGCAGGGCGCAACAACATTTGCAGCTGCCAGCTGCTGCCCTTTCTTTTCTTTTGGATCTCCTTTCCTGCACACTACGGCTGGAACAACTCAACACACCTGTTCAAAATTCAAGCAGAGAGTTATGAGGAAGTGCGTGGCTATGAGTGATCGCCTAATGCCCCTACGGGTGCAACCGTCCCGTTCTGAAACATGTTGGAATGTCACAAAGTGCCACGCCTGCCACGCGAAACGAAGCTACGCGACACGTGGAACCTCCAAAAGTAACCACGGCGACCGCCATAGGCACGGCCATACGGCCCTCGCGCGACCGCCCGCGGACGGTTGCGAACATACACGCAACGTCGAGCGAACACACCCTCAACCCCAGACCCCCAGAGTGAAACGGGAGCCCTTACTACGCATTCGGGAAAAAGCGAACGAATCCCACCTGCATGACGTTTGGCAAAGGCAGGCAATGGTGCCAGCTCAACTTCCCCAAACTCATCATCTTCGTCTTCGTCAAATGGGCACACCTATTGGCAGCGGCATGGCTGCTCTTCGGGGAAGTCAAGTCACACCTTGTTTAATCTTGTTCAGGTGCATCTGGATCATTTGGGATGCTCATGCAAAGAAAAATGATGATTGTGATGTATTCGGATGTATTGTGATAATGATACATGTTGATTGTTTGGACACCCCCTACGTCACCTGAGCCTCAAGCCCATTTGCCTAACCCATTTCAAGCCTGTTCGTCCTCATCATCGTCGGGCGCAGCATCTGCAGCAAAAAGTGTTTGGTTTTCTGGTTGGGTGGAGAAAGTTTCCCGGACCCGTGCCGATGGGGTGCCCACATGTTCACTAGTTTCGATCTTGATATCCAAAGTGACAAGCTGTACCAATCTTTGAAGAGTGTCAAAATCTGAGTGGCAAAACCCCACATCCCATTTTCCCATATCTTCCCAGCCTGCATATTCATATGGAACATGGAGGGGCGGACGCGTCTCCTCAGGACTGACCTCATGGAGGTTCTCAAAGCCTTCGTCTTCATCAGCGTAGGCCTCAGGTGGCACTCCCAACATCCCAGATAATTTCTAAAGCCAATTGGCCAAATAAAGAAGTACAATCACCCTCTTCCCCGTTGTAGGAATCATTGGCATATATGTGTGTATGTGTGATATATATATATATATATATGCGCACACACACACACACTATCGTCGGTTGGAGCCACCTTGTTAATTGGCTAGATGATGATGTAAAACCCACGGTGAATCCAAGCCACAGAAAATTGCTGTCGAAAGCGACTCATTTGTTCTCGGACCTCAGAAAGCGACTCGTTTCCACCACGTTCCCAGGTCTATGATTTCAGGGTCGTCCTAACATGATTTCAATGTTCACCTTCTCTGCCCCATGAGTGGTCAACATCCCAGGCTCAGAAAATATTTCTGAAAAAGAACTTTAGAGTCTGAGCTGGTCACTGGAGGTGCATAGTGCTTTCTGGACTTTCCGCTCCTCTCCTGTCCCCAGATTCACAGGCCGTACCAATCAGCAGTTGGACACATTGCCGTCCTCGTTATACATCTTTTGAATGTCCCTCTCGATCATCTCCAAATCCTGCACAAAGTGCAAAGATTTGCACGGCTACAGAGTGCACCACGGGGCATCAGGGGGCACCTGAAAGCGAGTAGCCCTCCACTTTGCGATGAAAGCTTCGCCTGCCACCGCAGCTGCAATGCATTTCCTGTAAATACAGGATAGGTCGACTCGCTCTGTCAATGAGCAGCAAGACAAGAATGGGGTGCCGTTCCATTAAAAATTGCCATAATTTGGGGATATCCCTACTGGACGAACGTGACCAAACCACTGGGATGGCCTGTCTTTGGTCCCACGTGCATCAACTGCTCCGCAGATTTCCGACTCAGGCGCGCCCAATGAGCGAAGGAACTCACCTGCCAATGCGTAGCTTGTATCAGCTGGGTGTTGATCAAAATAAAGGTATCTGGCGCGGCTTCAATCGCCGATCAACCGCAAGTCAACCGCGATCCCAACGGTGTCAATCGCCGGAGGGTTCTGTCCTAGTCCTATCTGACACTATTTTGCATAGAGGATCTTCAAAGGGCTTACATCACTTTAATTGAAAATATATATATAGAGAGAGAGAGAGACATGGCGCGAGCCAGGGCCTACTCAGGTATATTGAACAATCGCGGATCAACCGCGAACCAATCGCGGATTTCATCGACATTGTTTGAAAATTGAATTGATCTGGTTTGTTAGACTTTGAACTTTATTGTTCTGATTCTTCTTTGCAATCGGCTATCACTTTCGAACACAGTTTCCAAACAAACCCAAGTATAAGTCTGAAAACAGAATATCGTGCAATTTCACATTAATTTCTCCTCTCGCAATAGGTGATTCTCATACTGTTTGTCTCAGTCGCGAACCAATTGCCGATCAATCGCGATGGAGAATCGCGATGGAGGGTTTTACAATTGCGGATGCTGAAATATACATGCCCTTCATAATTCTTAGCCTTGCATTTATGATCGGCTCCCAACTTAATCAATGGAAACTGGCTGTCTATACCACCAGGATAGGGGTGTCCTGCTGGTTTTTTTCTTCAACTTGCTTGAACCACGCATTGCTTCTGCACTTAAATGGCTTGTGACGCAGTCTAAAAATCTAAAATCTCACAACAACAACAACAACAACCCCCTTTAACTTGGGATAAGTTCACCCCCGCACAACAACCAAAGGGATTTTCACACAACTCACATATGGCGTGACTCAAGGTGGCCCTTCTCGGACCTCAAGCTGATAAAATCAGATTGCTTTGATTTGCTAACAGCAAAGGAGAAGAATGGAGAAGAGTTCAGTTTTCTTGGTGAGACGATGTCAGACGCTTGATCTGAAACACTTTGAGACTTTAGACTTGGCTGAGTCAGTGCAGAGGCTGCATGAGTTGTTTAGCGGGGCTGATCATTGATCCAAGCAGCTGAGGTTTGATAGCTGTTGAGACGTTGGCTGGTGATGATGGAGCCTCAGATTTGGCTGCAGAATTCAAAGCACGGCGAAGCCATACATAAATGACAACACAAATGTGTTCACTTTTTGCTCACTGAGCACGGCAGTTTGTGTCAGTTCAATGGTCAGCCTGTTCTCTGTCCATGGCTGCCGTCTCCATGGGAGTCAAATCTACTCCAGCGAAAAAATTGAAGTCTGGGCTCAGGTGATCGATCCATCAATTGGCAAAATGAAATTTAGAAACACCGGGACAGTCCAAACACCAGAGATCGAAACAGTTCATGGACATCATGGACTTCGTATGGAATGGACTTCCGACAGCCACTTCGGCACAGGGGACCGGGACTGATGCGAACAGCTGGATGGATTCAATCATTTAATGTCAGGTCTGAAATATGACTCGTTGACTCAAACCCAGCCATGTTCAGAGTCCATACTATCCTCCAGCCAAGCATCATGCCACAGCTATAGGTGAAGAGTAGGTTCCTCGCGCCAGAGTTCGCTCTACAACTCAGGGTGGGCCTCTACAAAATGTTGAAGCTTGGGTTGCCAGCTGGCCGGGCTACAGGAACCTTGCGCATCAGTAGAATGAGTGGTAGGGCTGGTCTTGTCTTTCCATGACCATAACTACCTTGACGCCCGAACGGTTCAATGTGCTCAAAGTGTTTCAAGCAAAATTGTCTGGTTGAGGTCTGGGCATCATAAACTAAACGCTCACCTGACACCTGGTGTTCCCCTACGGCCTTCTCTGACTTTGCGCGCGAAATTCCACTGCTGCATCAGGTATTCGATCTCCAACTTGTCGAATCCATCATTGAGCACCGCATACATCTCCTCAGTTGCCCACCCAAATGTTGTAAACAGAAGGGAATCTTCTGCCAGCATCGGGTGAACCATTCGAGTGCCCAAGCCACAAGCAGCAGAAAGATCCCTTCAGATCCAGAAATTGATCCAGCAGTTTATCCAGTAGGATCCAGTAATTTACCCAAATCCTTCCCAATCCAGATCCCCAATCCAGATCCCCAATCCAGATCCCCAATCCAGATCCCCAATCCAGATCCCATTTTATCAGATTTTTTGACTGTTTTTTTTTCATATTTTCTTAGCTAAGCTAAGACACATTGCGGTCCAGGTCCGTCAGATTCAAGTTGGCGATCCATTCCTGCAGTCGTTTGCTGGTGGACTCATCTAGGCGCCGCCGCGCCATGGCCTGAGATGTGATGATGCTTGTGGCGGTTGTGGTCGGGTCAGATGGGGATCCCCAAGGATTAAAACTACCGAACAACCACCAAAAATGGAAACATCATGAACATGTCAGGAGAATATCATGGAAATATCATGGGATGCAATGGGATAATAGAAATATGACGGGATACAATTGTCACCAATAATGCCAAAACGAAAGCCTCCTGGGTGCCCCAACACATCCAACATCCCCAGGTGTTGTACCTTGTACATCGGCCAAGCCACACAGTGAGATCGCTTGTGTGCGATGATTGCCCGCAAGTCTGCGGACGGATTGGCCTTTCCCAACGGATGCAGCCGAAAAAAAAAAAAAACAGGACATCACAACAGGGCAACGGCGCCTCCAGGGCGTTGGATAACGTCGCCAGAATGCTGCCTACCTGCGAAGTCAGGACATGCAGGCTGTTCAGGAGCGACCTTGAGCCAGTTTTAGGACCCTTGGATCCAGGAATTCCCGGACCAACTCATCATAGGAGTCGAGTGCCAAACACCCCCGGACCTCCTGCGCAGGGATGGCCAAAAGCTCTCTTCCTGACTGAGATCAATTGAATTTGGAGGCTGCCGTTTCTTCCCCACAAAGGTACCAAACAAAGTCACACCCATTTAACTGTTAGAACTGACGGCTTACAGTCCAAACATGTCACATTACTCCACAAACAGCAGAACTATTTCCGAACTACTGAGTTACTCGTGTAGGGAGAGAGAAAGAGAGAGAGAGAGAGAGACAGACAGACAGACAGACAGCCAGCCAGCCAGCCAGGCAGGCAGGCAGGCAGGGAGGGAGGGAGGAGGGGAGGGAGGGAGGGAGGGAGGGGAAAGAGAGAGAGAGAGGGGGGGGTGAAGAGGAGTCAACGAGTCCATCCTTCCAGCCATCCATCCATCCATCCATCCACCCATCCATCCATCCAACCATGCATCCATCCATCCATCCATCCATCCATCCATGCATCTATTATCTATCTATCTATCTATCTATCTATCTATCTATCTATCTTAATGCACATGCATGTTTTAGAACAACTTGCAGGTATCTTTCCCGCGCAACACACCGACTGCAATCCACCTCACAAATCATTCAACTCATTACGGGCCTAATAACAAATTCCCACCAATTCAGATGTGAGCACAAATGCTCTGGACATACCTAACTTGGCAACCATCAAAATGAGGCTTCATAACTCCGTCAAAACGAGTCAAGCTTCGAACCCAGTCATCCATCTCCCGTGCTTGGCAGAAGTTCTCCACTAGAACGGAGCTTTGCGTCTGCTGATTGGACCAACTGGGTTTCTTTTCAGGCCGCTGCCGCCTGCGGCAGACAGCTTAGGTCAGGCAGCATAGATCTGCTCAAAGGTCTAAATTGCAGGATGCTACAGGCATATATGGATTAAATGGATTGACCCAATGCTAAACTGGAAATGATTGGCCGGTAATTGGTTCGTTTGGTTTGACGTGATGGCATCCACCGATGCTTGGCCTCTGCTTGGCTGCCACCACTTGCCAATCCTTGGACATGTTTTTTGGGTTTGCCGCCTGCTCTGTCCAATCACAAATTCACCTGCGGTATTTTTGCCCATTCTGTCTGGTAGAGATAAGCGTTCGCATTCGGTCCTTCTGCATGCCAGCCGATATAAATGCGAATGTTCTATGTATGGTGAAAGGATGTGTAATGATGCGTGTGAATGTATGTATTCATACATGTATGTGTGTATACACTGTGTGTGTGTGTTTGCGTGTGAGTGTGTTTTCATGCTTTTCTAGTAGAATGCATATTAATATACAATACATACATAGACACACGCAAACAATTCCGTACAATCATATATGCCGTTCAAAAAACAATCAAAATAATTCACCATGATCACATGAACTTGGGCTTCAGAACCCTGAAGTGCAGCCAAGACTGCTTCATCTTCCTCATCTTCGGAGTCCTTCGACTCATCGATCTTCCTCACTTGACGTGACAGAGGCTCTGATTTCTGTTGAGACTTAGTTTTGGACCCGTGCGATGGGACTACCTACCATCGAACAGCAGAAACCTTGGGATAGCCGCACCTCCGTTTCATCTGAGTCAGAGTTTTCTCGTTTTTGGGAGGCCGAGAAGCAAACAGCACAGTAGCAGTGTCAAAACCCAACTTACGAACAATGCGACAAGAGACCGCAAGCTGGCGAAACAGGCAATGCAGTAACACTGCTTGCAAACACAGCACCTCACAGTCTGGTTTCCGCTGGAATCAGCCAACCACAAAACGGGTTGGGATTGAGCAAAAACAATGGTTGTGAGTTGTGACATGTTGTAACCAAGATTTCTTGTTCTATCATAAGCTAACCCAAAAATCAGGCGTGCGTTCCCTGAAACATCGGAAACACTTGACATATCTTGTGACCCCACAGCAGCCAATCTTTGTGTCCAAGTCACGACCAGCCTTTGCTGGCTGGGGTCACACAGCTACTGCCAACGGCTTTCGAGTTGCTGCAGTCGCCCCGCTTCATCACTTTCCACTGCATCACACCCCTGCAGATTGGGGTACGACCGAGTTCTGTTGAAAGCATCCAACTGTCACATAAGCCGTCCATCAACCCTTCGAATCTTCAAAGTTTCTTATAGTTTCTTTGCGTTTCTCTGACTCATGAAATTCAAGATATAGAAATCAAAGCTGCTTGAAATCTGCTAACTTGATCCATTGCAAATCTTTGAATCCACCTAGCAACCAGGTGCCACAGGGACCCACGAGCACCTGCAGTCTGGACAGGAAACTTCTTCCTCAGCGCCGCAGCCGGCAGCTCAAACAATTCTCACTTGGGCAAGTCTGGCTCCTGCAGTCACCATACCAGCTAAATATAGGTCCTAGATCATGCATATATATATACAGTATATATATATATATACTCACACACATACATGTGTATATACCTGCGTGTGTCTATGTGCACACGTGTGCATATAATATTCTTTATTTTACGATTATGTGTATATTAAGTGTGTGTGTGTGTCTCTTATCCATCGATCCATCTATCCAAATTCTCGATTCTAGCCATTCTAGTCTTTAGGCCGCCCTTTGGTGAGTCTCCCAAAGCCGAAGCAAAAATGTTGAAATGCGGCCTCGGGCTTGCGCAATCATCACAGGGATGGATGGAAATAACATGAAATAACACATAGAAAGTTATTAAAAGTGGCATGAAATAACACAAGTTGTGTCATGTTGTATTGTCTGTTTCTTTTTTCCCTATCCCCACTTTATTATTGATCAATCATGCAATTTTATGCTTGAAATGCCAAGTGTCATGGCTTAAATCCCGAAACATCTGCTGCCCCAACGTTCGCAACCACGGCTCGTTCCGCGAGCTTTCACACACGTCTGTATCAGTGGGCAAATCGGTGTCACTATTGTCACTGCTCGACCTCCGATGAGCGATGAAGTCACCATGCTGTTCATTGAGACTTATGAAGAGATGTGGATTTTAGATGAATTTAGTGTGCAATCTGCTCCGTCAAAATTGAAGTGGCAAATATAAAAATGGCAACATGGACCCACCCGGCGCCAAGCTATCTTCTCATCTGATTGATTTGATTCACTGGGTTATACTGGGTTGTTTGCACTCACATGAGCCTGAAACCCTTCAGCCCTCACCTTTCATCGGCGTCAGCCCATTTCAACGGTGAGCTCTTCATCATCGCTTGCGGCACGCACAGGTCTCAAGCACTGGTGTTTGCAAAGCGAACCAAACAGCTTCACCCCAAAGAATTCCTCTCGTCCAACCTGGACTTCATTCAGAACCTTGACCCAAGATATATAAGATTATATAAGTAAACTTGGTGAGGATGGTGAGGGTTACCAGGTCTGGCGCTGCAAGTCATTAGTCACAAGGAGTCAGTCATCGAGTGCTCTGCCACTGTATGCAGCCTGCTTGAGCCGCTCTACCACATGACAGTCAAGTGAGTCTTGGTGCACGAGAGCTGAGCTCCACTGCCATCCACTGCTGTCAAGCGCTTCCAGTAGATAAAGCTATCAAATGACCACTCAAACCCAAGAAAAATCATCTCTGAAAAAAAAATCCCGCAGCCCATCCTCCAAGCAACACCCACCGTCGTTCCACTTCCTCCTTACCTTGGTCCCAGAGCTGGTCACACAACCCATGAGATCCACCTCTCAGTGCACTGCACCACGATTGGCCCAGTGTTTATGGTGCAAAATACAGCGTTTTGGTGGCAGGTCTACGCATTTTGTGTTGGAGAACCTCTCCCGAAATACAATGTTGTTGGCTCACATCTCCCAAAATATTACTATATTCGTGAGCCTCCACACATGGGGTGACTTTAAACCACTTGAAATTTGCCGGGCGCTGCAGATTCAAAAGGAAAATGAAATCTAATTATATATCTGAAAATATCTTCCCGGAGAGATCTCTAAAAGCATCTCAGTCTCAGCCCATCCAAAAAAGCGATATTCAACCATCTCCACCCCGTGGAAGACCCTCTGAGGATCCTCCCAGGGTGTCGCAATTTTTCTTCCTGCCGGTCTTGTGACATGGCACTTCCTGGCCCTGTGACCAGGGAGCCTGGTCGACGGGATCTTACTTCGTAAGCCCCACGAGGGTCTTGGAACCCCGAAAGGAAACAAAAAGCGATGCAAAGTGTGGCAGAACGCGGTAGGACATTCATGAATTTCATAGAAACACGCTTGGGCATTTTATCACTGCAATAATCACGGCTGCGTCACCCCAATTGAAAATTTCAACCTCCATGTTCTGTAGATTCTGTCATGTTCCCGCCGAAATCATTGCAGGCTTCGGGCTTGTATCATGATACTGTAGAGCCAAAGGCATCGCCAAAAAAAAAGATTTCACCGGCTTGAGATTCTTTGCCCAAGCCACAACCTCCCATACAGCCAACCTCATTCGAGGTTTTTTCAATCCTTGCCACCTCCACTTCCACCATTCCCATGGCGTCATCGTTGGCGGGCTGGAGCCGCTCCATCCGCATCGTTCGCATCCACCGAAGGGTTGCTCTGACGCCGCCTTAGTTGCCCGCCCTTCATGTGACTTCGCAGCTGTTGGATTTCGAACCTTCAGGCCCCTTGAGGTCCCCTTGAGGTCCCCTTGAGGTCCCTGCCAGCTTTCACGTTGACCTCGCGGATTTGAACGGCCCACCTGGCTCGAGAAATGCTGGGAGTAAAGGTCGCTAAGCTCACACCATGCAACACGACCAAGCCAAAGAACGGGGTAATTTCACATGACCGTGCATCTCTATTAAGCTTGCAATGTCAACAGGGACCACTAAAGTCTGAGGTCCATAAGTGCAAAACTTATGGCAGGTGGAGGTCGCCGGAAATGTCGAGCCTCCATTGGGATCATTGGGCTGCTTTTCCAGGCATGGATAGCTGGCAAGCCATTGGAGCCGTTGATGTCATTGGCGGAGGATCCCAAACCTCAGAATGGCAACCCATCTCAAGGAATGGCATGGCAGATTGACACCTGACAACAAATCGGACCCCGCTGATCTCTGTTGTCCTGCCAAAATTAGACAGAAACAGCACGTTGATTCGTTTTTGCAAATTTATTCAGCTACCGTGCAATTCTAGAAGTCTGGCCTGCACTGGCGACAGGCGATAAATCTGGCTCCTGTCCATGTGTTCAACACATCCACTGAGCACAAATTGGGAAGTTGCGGTCGGCCCAACAGAATCGCAAGAAGTTTGGCATCCTCGCATTTTACATATATATATACCATTGCCACAAAAATGCAGAATACAGACTTCTTATGAATGATTCAATGCTCATGATCGTACCGTAAAAGCCTCGAACTGCGTGTAGTGCCAGTTCCAGTGCCTGATCGAAATTCCGCCCTGCCTTGGTATCCTTGGTACTATTTAGCGCTGGCGCGGAAGGAGATCGATTTGGCAGTGCGCATTCTGGGGCTCTGGGGGCCTGCAGCTGCACTTGGGATGTGGGGCCTGCAGAAGTGCCCTACTGTCTCAAAGAGCTTCGGAACACCCTGCTTTCGACACATGTTTTCATGCCATGGTTTCAACTCGGCTAAAATGCCCGATGCGTTGCTTCGAGCCACCTCAACATCAAAAAGGAAAGTGACAGAAAGTGACAGGTCCCGAATATTCCCGAATCAGGTGGCACCTCTTCAACCTCCCGAATCGGCTGCAGGTCCTGAGCTTTCATCTTTCAACACCGGCCCAAGGCGCCGAGGCGAGGCACCACTCACCGCTTCAACCAAGGCTCCACCCCGGCCGGCCCATGGTGCAGCCCCAAGCAATCTTGCAAACCGATGCCTCCTGTCTCCTCCACCAGATCCAAATTTCAAATGACAAACATGAGCCCCTTCCATCTCGCATCCGGATGTATTCGGGGTATCCTGGTATCCTGCAAAGGTTCCATTCCTACATGGCCACACTGCCCCAAGTCACAGACCACGTTTTTCCCTATGTGCCCGGCAGCCCCTCTCCTGCATTGATTTTCCAGCCAGGCCAGCAGCTAGCAAGCTCTTAGTCAAGGGCTCCACCAGTACAGTCAGAATCACCTGCCAGGATCCACAAATGCGATGTCAAGACCACAAGAAAACCGCCACATGATGTCCCAACCAACCCATAGGCTCACCATCGTGGCAAAGCTCGTTAGCCATCGTTGTCCGTCCTGCGTATGGGATGTTGGCTGACAAGCCACAATGAGGAAGAAAATGGATTGAGGATTGAGTTGCATCATGGGGGATTTCATTCCAATGTCATCATACCTCAATGATCTTCAATGGTCTCATTTAGGCTTAACTCGCAGGATAAGCTTGAATGGAGGGGGAAATTGCTTGCTTCAGTCCTCATCAGAGGCGCTGGCAATGTAGGCGGTACCCAACAAACAGCAGGCCAAGGAGTACAACGACATCAGCACGGCAAAGGCCTCCAGCTACCGTCCGGGGCATCATCCTAATTATCCTAATTGTCCGAATTATTCGAATCAGCCAAGGTATCCTGGCACGGATAGGGGAACAACAGTAATAAGATGGTCGAAACCACTACAATAAGCGCGGAGGTCACACCAACTTGGTTAAGAGAATGCTTTCCCGCACAGAACTCTGCGCACCAACATGCCAAAAAAGTCACACCAGCAATTTTCTCCAAGGTAGTGAACACAAGTTGGAGTGACTTTCCCTGCAGCTTTCCCCCCCTGATTGCAACATATATCTAGAGTCGGTGCGACTTCAACAAGTGTGTGTGTGTGTGTTGTATCTCACCAACTTGATGCCCAGGAGTAAGGCATGAAAACACAACGATGCTGAGGATGCGGATGCTGCCGAATTTGCTGCTAGTGGGGACATGCCGACAGTGTCCCCAGAAAGATTGAGCCACGGCCAAACTGCTTTTGAACCAGCCAGCGGGGGGGGGATAGCTAAGTATGAAGTTTCATGCAATTGGAGACTCCAGCCCCCCAATACCTTGATAAAGCAAGAGGGACTTCAGTTAGCAGAAGCTAGCTTTTGTGATTGGATTTGCAATTAATCCTCAACTTCGCATTTCGTTGAGGAAAGGACAGGGGGAGAGAGAGAACGAGAGAGACACACACACAGACACCAGACAGAGAGAGAGAGAGAGAGAGAGCGAGGCAAATCTATATCAGTCTATATCTGAATCTTGATCTACGCATTGATATCTCTATTTGTCTCAAGAGAGAAAGAGAGAACAAGAGAGAGAGAGAGAGGGAGAGATCTACATCTTTGTCTACACCTCTGTGTTTGTGAGCCACTTGTGCGCATTCTGTTGGCATGAAAATGTCTACCACAACTAGGGGAGGGTACGCCGGAATCTCGGAAACGCTGAGGAAATCTCGGAAACGCGGAGGGAATCCAGGAACAAAAAGGAAATCTTGGAACGCAGAGGAAATTTAGAGGAAAAGCATTAGTTTAATCTCTTTGACTTTCAAAATTGTTTTTGCTCTTCAAGAATTTTACATCATGGTTAGTCAGCCGCACAAACATACAGTTCCAATCAATGTTCCAAGAACCTTTCGCCGCTCCGTATCGTCTGTTATTGGTCCTGAATTATTGTCGTGGTTACGGAGGTCTCTCTCTCTCTCTCTCTCTGTCTCTCTCTCTCTCTCTCTCTCTCTCTCTCTCTGGCAGACCAGTGGACCCTCCAATTAGGGTCCTGACAATATCTTGCAGCCACCATTTGTTCACCTGCTTTTGTCGGGACTTCGCATCCCACTCCACGTCTTGCTTAAACTCACGGCCTCGGATCTCTCCACAGCATGTGACATGTCAGCCTTGCGAGAAAGCCACCAGAAGATCGACTTATCTCAAAACAGGAAGCCCCAAACATCAAGAAACTGCTAGTAGCTGCTACTATTCCCATGGTTTTCTTTCGCAAACCCACAAGTCGGCGCAACTTTCTCATCAAAGCTGCTGTGGAAGAGAAGGAGGACAGCAGTCCAAATCAGCTGCAGGAGCCTGCCAACATCTGCCAACATCTGCCAACATCTGCCAACATCTGCCAACATCTGCCAACATCTGCCAACATCTGCCGATGCCTATGGATCCTATGGATCCTATGGATCCTATGGGCAGCTAACTCTTCAAGATGCGATCTGTCGCAGATCAGCCTGCCTGGAGATGAACGAGAAGAGCAGTTGGATGCCAATTCCTCCGATGACACCCTCAACATATTGCCTGCCGCACGAGCTTTCTCCATGGATTTGTAGAAAACTTCGGAAACAGTTGAGAAAAGTGTCCTCGCGACACCTTTCTTGCATCTCAGGCAGCAAATGCACTGAACACAGCGGATTCGAACCCCACCTTTTGGATCCTGAAGGTGTACAAGACACAGTGCTCCGCGCACGTGTGTCTCCTATAACCAAAAAGCAGATCACCTGGTTGCGAGGGAGCTCTGACAAGCCACCGTGACCGTGATGTTTAAAAGGTGCAGCCCCATTAACTCAACCAAAGGCTCCAAAGGCTCCAAAGGCATCAGCCAAAGAAAAACGAGTCAAGATGATGCATGATAACAATGATGATATCATAAAACCATAGGTAGCAACAAGAATAATACTATATGCCATATATATTGGTAATCGAAGGAAGTTTAGAAGTCAAACTTCCGACAATATGGACAGATGAAAAGCAGAGTAGGGGAGAGGCAGAGAGAAGAGGAAGATTAGAAGAGAGAAGATGAGAAGAGAAAGAGTCAGAAGAAAGAAGATACAGATGCGCGAAAAGGTAAGAAAGTCGCAAAACACTGCGTTTTTCCAATGATTTGTGGCTCAGGAGGGTCGAAAAGTAGGCTCGCTAAAGCGGCGGGTGCGGAGCCAGCTGGTCACAGGAGCGATGAAAAATTGCACGCCGTTGTGGCGGGAAGCACATTTCCAAGTCAAACTGTTAAAAACACCAGGGGTTCGGACCACTTTTGGAAGTTGCGATGTCGAAAAAGTGCACGCCGTTGTGGCGCGAAGCACATTTCCAAGTCGAAATGTACAAAACACCTCAGCGTCGGACGACTTTTGGAAGTTGCGATGTCGAAAAAGTGCACGCCGTTGTGGCGCGAAGCACATTTCGAAGTCAAAATGTACAAAACACACCATTCTCGGACCACTTTTGGAAGTTGAGATGTCGAAAAAGTGCGCGCCGTTGTGGCGCGAAGCACATTTCCAAGTCAAAATTGTTAAAAACTGGCGGTCTCGGACCACTTTTGGAAGTTGAGATGTCGAAAAAGTGTCGAAAAAGTGCACGCCGTTGTGGCGCGAAGCACATTTCGAAGTCAAATGTGTAAAAAACTGAGGGTTTTGAGCCTTTTTTGACGTGAAGATGTCGAAAAAGTAGACACTGATTAACTTAACTAACTTGACTAACTTAACCAACTTCACTAACTTAACTACCCTAACTTCGACGACAACAGCAACAGCAACAGCAACAACAACAACAACAACAACACCAACCACAACAACAACAACAACAACAACAACACCAACCACAACAACTACAACAACTACAACAACTACAACAACTACAACTACACAACAACTACAACTAGAACTACAACTACAACAACTACAACAACAACAGCAACAACAACAACAACAACAGCAACAACAACAACTACAACTACAACTACATAACAACTACAACTAGAACTACAACTACAACAACTACAGCTACAACAACAACAACTACTACTACTACTACCACAACAGCAACAACAACAACTACTACTACTACTACTTCTACTACTACTACTACTACACTACACAACAACTACAACCACACCACAACTACAGCTACAACTACAACAACAACTACAACTACAACAACTACAACTACAACTACAAAACAACTACATCTACAACTATATGACTGCAACTACACTACACTAATTACATTACACCACAACTACAACTCCACTACGCTACAACTACAACTACAGTTGCAGTACATCACACTACATCCAGCAGTTGTGGGTGAGGTGACCACTGCAAGCATTGCAACCACTCCAGCAAACACAACTCCAACCACCTTTCGGTCAATCAGTGGATTCGCTCTGCCATCCGTGATTCACAACAACCAACGTCTCCTATAGGTTTCCTATTCTGAAACTTCCGCCACCGCCTTGTGCGGTACTACTGGTAGTAATGGCAAGAATACGAATGAAATAACAATACCAATCTATAGCAATCGAATCAATAATATTATACGACGTCATCATGCACGCCACACCCGGATGCAGCACAAGGCACGGACAGCGCCACACGGCCAAAAATATTGGCCACCACAAGGCACGCGCGCATGAAGCACCGTGTCACCATGGAGTAGCTCCTGGATAGCGCAAGGCAAGTACAATGACCATCTTGGTATTCCAAATCACCAAGGCTGCAGGCGAGGCACTGAACAGACCAATGTGGCTGGAACTGCACGAAGAAAATGCAAAAGCGTCTTTGTAGGCTAGGCCTGTGTAGCTGCAATCAGTTCAGACTCTGGACCTTCCAGTGATTCTAGTGTCAATTGTGCTTCCTGGGATGAAAATCGTAAGAACAAAAATAGCCTTCCACCTTTGCAACTTGTAAAGTGAGGCTGTGCACTGCATAGCTCTGCCGATGCAAACGAGATGCCTGGGGACAAGGTCTGAATACGCTGCACTAATGGCCTGATACACTGAGCAAGGCCAAAGGGTTCCAAGCCAACAGAGGCAAAATGCATCAATACGATTCTGTATGTGTATGTATATATATATATAATATTATCATTATATACAGAACAAACCATTAATGGCATATGATGGTATATGTATACATAGTATATATGGAGATATGTGTGCGTCTGTGATTATATGTGGTATGTGTGTGTGTGTGTTACAATTGAAAGCTCTGCGTTTGTGTCTCTATGTTTATGTCATTTGCGCTCAGCAATCACCTCCTGCTGCATCCAACTGGATGTCGCAGCCTGCTGCACCTTCAGCTGCAGAGCTAGAAAGTCTGAATTGCGCTTGCGAGTCCAGGCAGACTCCTCGTTCGCAAAGGTCACCTGATACCTCAGATCTCAGCAAATCTCAGTAGCATAGAGGCATAGAGCAGCATTCATGCCGCGTGAAGATCGTGAAACCAGAGAGAACTCCATATCTTTTTGTGGTTCCTTTTTTCTGACGTTTACCCCCCCGCAGTGGGAAAGAAATGATTTTAAGATTTTGAAATCAGCCTTGGGCAGGGAATGTCCTGGGTCTCCTAGTTTCAACTGTGGCCCCTGGCATATGTAGCAGCATGAACTGCACGTCCAGCTCGGACAAACGCAAACGCACGGCCGCAGCCGCCCTGCCAGCACAGCAGCCAAGACTTCATCGAAAGTCTGTATGATATTGTGTGATTATAATATGTGTGAAAAATCCCAAAACCCAAAGGAAAGAAATGTGAAATGTTATGACTGTTATGAAATGTTCATCTTCCTTTGAGGATTGCTCACTTTGCCGGTTTGTTTTACAGTAGGTGGCCCAAAGTTTGGCTCACACCTCGTCATGGGGCAACTTCAAATGTGCAGCGACAAACCAAAATCTCGGCCTCACGCAGAAAATTGCCAGCCAACGCGCCAAGGATTTGACCGCTTCATTCTTCCTCATGGCACTCCATGCGCCGCAGCCCACGGCACGAAGTCGCGATGCCAAACTCAGTTTCAGCACCTGAATCGGGGCAATGTTCCTGGATCAGCCTACGACTGCTTCAAACCAGTATGATCGCAGATCCGGCAAAGGGTTTGGCCTTGCTTTCAGAAAGTCTATCCCCTTTGCAAAGTGCGATGAGCAACAACTTGAAGATCCAGCCTGGGCGTGAGCCGCATCTCGCGTGAGGAAGTACTCCTCCTTCCACCATCCCTGGGCTGCAGGGCTTTTTGGTTCAAGAATAACGTCCAGATTCACAGTTTCAGTGACCCAAGCTACCTGAGAAAGTCTCGAAAATGCAATCTCTCATTACCAACCAAAAGCGTCGGTGGCATTGGCACGGCTGGACACCCTCTAGGGGCCACGCCCCAGCCACGGCCCCATTGGCCCAGCCTCTTGCCGCATCTGCACATCCCGCCAAACGGCCGCGGCAAAAAAAAAGACGTGGAAAAAGGCAACAGCCCAGAGCGACAGAGCAGCAGCGGAAGAAGGCCAGGTATCATCCTGGAGCGGTATTTCACCGGCTCTAAGGGGGTTATCTAATGTTATCTACCAGGGGACAAGGATTTGACCGGAAAGATTGTATAACCACAATGAAATGTGGATTTATAAAACAGATTAGAACAGGGTAGAGCAGGAATAGAGGTCTAACATGGTCTAACCATCTTGAAATGAAGATTCAGCGAATGTTAGCGAGTTTCATAGTCGCAGCATGGTGATGGGAGACAAAAAATGTTGGCCATGGGGACCCGTCATGACCCGTCATGACCCGTCACCTGCAGTTGGTCATAGGATCACAGTTCCAGAAAGTTGGTGGCTTACTTGCCCCTGCCCTGCATGACAGTGCTACTTTGCAGGGGCATTTAACTTCATTTAACATCAGTGAGTGTATCACTGTGTCATCTGGCCAGTGTCAAGTCCAAGAATGCATTCAGTCAACAGTCAACCTCCTGAAAACACGTGCGGCCCAGGATCTGTAGAAAAGCGCAGCGCGGAAGCTGTCAATGTGTCGCACATCGAAATTTCATGGTGGCCGTGGCCGAGCCGAGCTACAAGGCTAGACCCACTAGGCAACAGACACACCAAAGAAACCTGATGAAGCCTCGATGTTGCACACCCCTGTGCTGCAGTTGATCTGCAAGCTGTATTGCAAATAAAACAAACTATTGAATTGGCTCTTTGAGAATCTACAGAGCTGGGTATCTTCCCAACCAAACCTCATGTTGAAGCATAATGGACAACACACCATGAGAATCTTCCCTATGGGGAAAGGTGGCTGGCAGCGGTGGTTCGAAACCAAAGATTGACATGACGATGGCCAAATCACATGGCATTTCAAAGCATGGCAGCCTCTCATTGCAGTCTATCTATCTATATATCTATCTATCTATCCTATCCCGTCCCATTCTATTCTATTTTATTCTATTCCATTCCTTTCCAATCTATATAATTCATTCCAATCTGATCCAATCGAATCTAATCTACAGTAATCTAATCTGATCTTCCTATACACCTAAACATATACATTATACATTATACATTATATATATGTGTGTGTGTGAAATTTTATAAATATGCACTCCGATGATCGTTTGTCGAAGGGTCCCAGAAAAAAGGTCCCTGGGATCGCTCACTCAACTCCCAATTTTATCCATGTTTCTTCAGGTTCCTCAGTGCACATTTTCTGGTCGCCTGACCAGTTGGAGAACCTGGCCGGATCAAATTGGATCACAGCTACCGTGGACGATCTTGGACGCCCACTCAGTCTTGGATGCAGGACATGATGGAGTTGAAACTGATCACCTCTGTTGCCACAGCCCTTCACAGCACCCCCAGCCAAACTCCACAAAAAGAAAAGAACATCAAAATCAATGTCGCAAAACATTGAAGAGACATCAATGGACCATTCTCTTCCTCCAACCTACATCATCCTAAATCCAAGAATAGTCTCTTAAACTCTTGGAGCTGGAAAGTTCAAGGTCTTTTGGGGCCTGCATTGGTTGCATGTCCACATGGGCATGGGATCGCGGTCCCAGTGGCATCGGGCTGCAGCGATGACGGAGCCATGGCCTGGAAGAGCCGCAGCGCGTGGCGCCAGTGGCTGCTCTTGGCGGAGGAGCTGATGACGCCGTTGAAGCTGATGACATCCGGGGCCAGCCGCGCCATGGCCATGGCACCCAGGAAATGCAAGGCCTGGAGCATCGAGAGCAAAATGAGCAAAGCCGGCATCAAATGATTTTTTGGAATTAATTAATTTTTTGGATTCTTAAAATGAATCTGAAATTGATGAATTAATAAATTAATACGATGTAATCCTCCAAAAATGACCAGAATGATGAGTCCATGAGTGCCACAGTTTGACCCCTTCCTAACAAGTCACCTCCGGCTAGGTGAAGAATCCCTTGTGATAGTGCTATGCTGCACCAGCAGCAGTTCCATCATCAATTTTGTTGTCCTCATCACAGCTACTCTCATCACTATCACACTCATCATCACCACCGTTAACATGCAATGTTCTCAGCAGTGGTCGGAATCATCTATGAACACATGGGGAAAGCCACACCCTGCCTGCTGCCATTGCTGGCTCCTTGCACAACAACTGATGATAGTATTGAAGCTGATGTTGTCCAAATGAATCTTGGCCTCAGGGCGGCTTGAGCAGTTCAATCAGCTGATCACCCCATAGCATCCGCATTTGCATATACATACCCATATGCAAATAGCACACATAGTCTGTCTGGGTCTGCACATGTGCAGTTTATAAGCAACAATGCAGTTGTGTTCATAAATATACATATGTGCCTCTGTGTGTGTGTGCGCGCATGCACATGTGGAGATACACATGATCGAGTTGAGCTAGATTCAGGTGGATTTCAGGGCCTTCTAATCTTTTGGCTGACCGCCAACCACCAAGACAAATGATATGTGGCTCAACATTGCCAACCGACAATCAGAAGGGCATCATGAGGCATCAGAGCATAGGAAGATTTCGGACTGGTCTCCCTGCCTCCGGGGCAGCTTCCATGAGATCTAGGGCTTTCTCCCGTTGTTCGCCCTTGGCATATGCAGCCAGCATGGCGTTGATGGTGATGACGCTGGGTTGTAGCTTCTTGCGCATGGAGTCGAAAAGTGCCAGGGCCAAGTCCCATCGGCCAGTTCGTCCGCATGAGCTAATGGCTGCATTGAAAGTGATGACATCTGGTGAAACCTTGGCCCTTGGCATGGCATCAAACATCGCCATAGCTTGGTGGTGCTGCCGTCCCTTGTCACAGCAGCTGATGGTGCTGTTGAAAGTGATGACGTCTGGAAGGACTGCTGTGTCGCGCATTGCCTCGAACAAACCGATGGCTTGCTGCCAACGGCCCCCCTTCTCACATGAGCTGATCCCTGCATTGAAGCTGATAGTGTCACCTGAAGGAGTTGACGCCCTCCTGAAAAACAACCAATGCTCCGGAATGAGCTTCAAAAAGATTCAGGAAAACCAACTTACTACTCTGGGTCTTGAATGTTATTCCGCGTGATCAGTGAAAAGGTCTGTACCAGCGAGCCTCACCAAACACCTTTGCTGAGCCCTCTGGCGTTTTGGCGCGCCTTGAACTTGTGCTTCAGCCATGGACTTCAACAAACTGATGGCTTCCCTCCACAGGCTGGCCCTGGCACAGGCAGACATCCCAATGGTGAACTTCCGGGCATCCAGCGGTCTCTTCTCCATTCGTAACACCTCCAGCACAGTGAAGATCAGATGGGCATCCGAAGTCGCAGCCAATGTCTTCAAAATCTGCGTCACCGAACCTGTCCAAGTTTTTCTGCTGGATAAAGCTGTCTTCACAGCTTCTTGTGAAGGAAACTTGCTTAGCTCCAGAAGTTTCACCAAGGGATCCTTTTTGGGCTCCAACTTTCCACGGCTAGATCGGCAACGACCACCATGACCCAACCTTCCAAGTGTCCTTGAGACCACCCCAAGCACCGGCGCATGGCTGATCATATTCAATCCCTCAAGCCATATGCTGCGTTCATATCAAAACCTCATGCAAATGATTCTGGCCGAAAGTCTTGGCATTGTATCCACTCTTTCGACATGCAAAGAAAACGACGTTCAGGGAAATAAAATTACGACCGGGACTCGTTGCACAAGTGTTCCTGCCGAATCTGGCGTGAGACCCTCCCGTGTATACATGGAAAAATGCATGGATTACATCAGTTTATTTGTATGTATATAATTTAACCTAATGTCATGTGATGTATATAATCTAATCCAAATTAAATGTAATGTACATGCACATGCACATGTAAATGTAATGTACGTATGTGTGCATGGCATATTATTACATAATCATGTATACTTGCCACGCACATACATGTGCGCGTGTGTGTGTGTGTAATCAATAAATGAGCAATGCATAGTAATGTAATATATAATAATATATATCACATATCCATGTGACTAGCAGCCAACCCCATTCGCTCCGACTCTAAAACTCTGAGCTCCTTGCCTTCCACGTTTCACTGGGCAGCCTCCCATGCGGGGCGTTTCCGCCATGCTTTTAGAACACTGATGATTGGTTGCAGGGGCACTGGTGTATGGGTACACAATCATTCAAATATGGGTATAGATCCGTCATGTAAAGCAAGCCTTTCCGGCTGTCTACAACATGCCGCTTTGGGAGGCGACTGCAACCAGGGCTGTCTGCATTTTCCACTGTAAAATCTCAAGCCTCCAACAGGCGCCGCCGCCAAGGGCTAAGGAAAAAAGGCGCAAAAGGAGGTGTCCGGTCGACGACCTTCTTTAAAAAGAGTCGAAGAGTTACGGTGGTAGATCCAGGATAAGCATGCCAGGAGGCCTCGACATTGATCCCGCAGTAGATCTTTTCTCAAAGTTTGCAGCGGAAGTATGGTTGTTTTTAAGTAGACAACCTGTTCGGTCACACTGTCGGATCAACTTCACAGGCAGCCGTCAGCCCTTCGGGCTGTCAGTGCAAAAAGCGAAGCATCTACCTGGCTTTTTTTTGGTGTATCCAGCTTGAAAGCTGGGTTGAGTTCCCAGGAGTGCCCCCATTATTTGTCGTTCAGAAAACTCAACGATAAAACACTGCGGACACTGGATGCTGCTTCTCTATCCAGGGGAGTCCACGGCTTGCAACAGGAAGAGGATGTTTGGGGACGCGTGCGGCACGAGATCAGGAGGCGAATCCTGCGACACAGATTGGCCGGCAACCTAAGCCTATGAAAGGAGAAGCGACGGCCAGATTACAATCATCATCATATATTTATAAAACAATGTTTAAAAAAAATGTTTACAAAGTGAGTGCTAACCCCAGTCACGTGTGGAAGCCACATGATTCCTTTCCACACGGTTTTCGTATCCAAATCCTCCTCGATGAGTGGCAGAGAGGAATCTGGACTGCCTGGACTCCTGTGCTTTGCAACACTGATCAAGCCCAGTAGCTCCATGATGCAAACAGAAGGGTGCCAGCGCCATCAGAATTATCATAGGAATCAACATTAGAATTCAGAATCATCACAAGAATGATAAGTCATAAGTCAAAAATATTCATATATCATAAGAATAGGGAAATACCAAACACCCCATTCATGGGGTCAAGATTTGAAGACCATCACTGTTTTCGGACTCTTTGTGGGATTACCAATCAGTTGGACCCCATCCCCGTGGGTTTGGACCAAGGGATTGGGAGCAGCAAAATGACGACTTTCGAATGAACGTCACGACAAACATAATATTTGAAACGGAACAATTACACATGTATTATGTTTGGATGACCTGTGTCATCTGTGTCTAAAAATCTCCAGAAATCTTCCTAGTCTCGTGTCCCCCCCTAGCCTTTGGCGCACCATGGCGCAGCGGATCTCCTGGGGGTGCGGAGCCACATGCTCCTGGGAGTCCTCAGCATGTCACTGAGCTCATCCAACTGACGCTGAAGGCTGTCCAATCCTCAGCGACGCTCATGTTCGGACTTTGATTCCGCGTTTTTCCACATTTGTTGGACGGAAAAAAAGTGGAAATGTAGGAGTTCTGAAGTGTACAATCATTCTAATGGGTTCAAGGAAAACTCTCCAGACTGGAAAGGTGAAACAACTGTATACAAGATGAGTGTGCGAGTCAATCCGCGCGTCTCTGCAGGACTATGCATTGCGGAGACAAGTGTGCAGAAGCAACGCGGGAACCACTATATAATCAATATACAATATCCGGTTCAATTATGGAGATTTCAAGGTAATCATTTCTCCTTGATCGAGATGAAATACCATCACGAAACTTGGGCGAACTCCAAGGTTATATTTCGTAGGACTTATGCCATGTGGGACCGGCAACAATTTGTCTTATGAAGACAGGAACCCGTCAGATTGCTTCAACATAGCCATGTAGACAAATCACATATGACAGCAGATTGTCGCTTACTGTGCGTATATTGTATTTGTAAGGCTTACCGGACCATCCACTTCAAAATGCACTTTCACTTCAGCCTCCTTCACATACCGTTCGCAGAACTTTCCTGAAAATCTCCCTATCGCTAACATGATAAGTTATATGTATCTAATTGTGATTCATGATTCCAACTTTCACACATCTTTTGCACGCCTTATTACTCCTTGTCCAGCCAGGCAACTGCCCTGCAAATCTACGCTCTGCTCCTGGGATTCGGATTCGGCAGCTCCCTAGGGATTCGGTTCGTATCTCGTACCAATGTCATTCTTCACTGGGTTGGTGAAGCGATACAGACAGTACAAGGCTGATTGGATGCCAAAGACGAATAGACTCACTGACTCACTATAGTATTATAGACATCTATAGGCTGGTTATACTCTTTTCCCATCAGAAATTCCTGATGCCCTTCGAGGCCAGCGCTCCTTGGACCAGAGATGCATTGCTGCCAAGTCCAGTGCCTTTGCGGGCCCTCGCAGGCGAAGACAACCTTGGATGAACCTCAGCCAGTTGCGGAGGACATGGGTCATCCCTTATACTGGTTGATAGGGGTTCCCGTTCTAGGCCACAAAATCCCCAGCAAGCCAGGTAGTATAACCTCTTGTGGTAAGTAGTAGCTAATCATATCGACAAGGGTTTTGATCACTGCTCAGTTGACACGAATGGACTGCAACTTTCCACAAAGAATATCCTTTTCTCCCAATTTCTCCCATGCTAAACAGAATCAAGGTCAACTCATCAACATCCCACTACCTGATTGGTCGATTCTCCCGTGATGCACAACCCCAGCATCATCCATCAAGGGGCTCCACAATGCTTAGACTGCCGGAATCATCCCGGTCCAGGAATTCAAAGAGCTGGTCTGCGTCGCCCATCTCGATTTCTTGGTGTGTCGGGATGGTAGGAGGGGTTGCAGCACAGTGACCCCAACATTCGGATGGAAAATGCATAAAAACTCCTAAAAGGGTCACCATCACATCTTTGTCCAGCCGCCGATGGCATCCAAATACCGAGTCATAGCCTGCAAGACATTGTGGCCGCCATGGTCTACAGAATGAGACACTCAACTGTCTTTTGGCACAATTTGTGTAGATCGTCGCACTTTTTTCTTCCAGTCATTCCAGTTGGCTATTTGTGGTCATCGTGTTGAGGCCACCGTTGAAATCAATTTATCCTTGCATATCTTTCAACGACATCTAGCTACTGCTGAACCAGGATTTCGGCAAACTTTGGTTATGCTCTGAACCTGCTTCACATTCTTTTGCTGTACATGTTTCAGCTTCCTTGGACTTGGACTTCACAGAGTTGTCAAAGTCCTGCATTCATCGATTCCAAGGCAAACCCAGCTTTCAAGTCAAATCGTAAGGTCGCTTGATGCCCTGAACCACTCTCTTGAGTTGATCTTGGACTCGAGACATGTCACCGCCATGTGTTGGCCGTACCCATGTGAGGATTCTGTCGCCTTGGCTGCACAAGGAAGAGGCTCCCAGTAACTTCCAGAGCTGCTGTGATGCCGTTGCCCGAACGAATTCTCTGAGTCCTCAAGCCCCCGGCCTTTCCATTTGCTACTGGGCAAGGCAACCTGTACTTGAAGCATCTATGAAATCTATGAATTCAAAAGCCATAAGATCTGGTCTCCAACTGCTTTGAGCCAAAATGCCAAAATGTTGGACAAATGGTGGGCTTCCAGTGCTTCCAGTCTGCGTAGTCCATGGCTTTCATTCGATTGTGGCTACCAGCGGCTACCATGGCCTCAGACCTGAACGCCCCGACTGGCCCCGGGCCAACCCTGCAGCCTCCGAGTGCAGCAAATCATCAAACTCCTCCTTCGAAAGCTCATCACCTTGGACTTGGCAGGGCGCAGGGTTTATTTCTTGGGTGGAGCAGAGCCCAAGGACTTTCATCATCAAGACTATCCGTGACTATCCCTCCTCAAACAGTGCTAGTTGCCAAAGGGTGTTGGCATCAAGGCAGGAGCTGCCAAGGGGACTTTCCGCCTCCTGGCCTTCAGGATTAATTGGCAGAATATTTGGATGACTTCCGTCTCTCCAAGTTACCAGCTTTCTTCCCCGTCTGCACAAAAATGTCTGCAGCCATACGTACAAGCTCGTCCCGCTTCCTGCGGCTCTGTGACACACCAAATCGGGAAACCTTCAAAACAAGACGCTCATATGGTATCAGAATAATTCCTGTGAATCTGGATGGTGACATGCCAAAAATGGTGTTTGGACATGTGTCAGACTTAGTGATAGTGAGACGTGAGCGAACAAATATCATATAAATGAATAGGCATATAGACATATATATATGCATGTAACATATAATCTATATATATATACATAAAACATATATATATATATACATATAACATCTCATCTATACAGCATATATATATATATATACACATAACATATATATATATATAAATAACATTTATACAACATATATATATATACATATATAACATATAGATATATAAATATATACATACAACATTAATACAACATATATATATATATATCATATAATATATATAATACATAATAATATATACTTATAACATATAATATATATAAAACATAATAATATATACTTATAACATATAACATATATATACATAACATATATATATAACATATATATAACATATATATATAACATATATATAACATATATATATAACATATATTTATAACATATACATATATCATATATATATCATATATATATATATAACATAACACATATATGTATATATAACATATATATATATACACATATAACATATATATACATATACATATAACATATATAAAACATATATATATATATTACATATATATTTATATAACATATATATATATCGTGTGTATATATATACATAACACATATAGATATACATATAACATATATATATATTTGTAGCGTATATACATATAATATTATATATACACATATATCATATATATATATACATAACATATATACAACATATATATGTATAACAAACAATACATATGTATATATATTATGTTGTGTATATATACATAACAAATATATATATATATATACAACATATACATATATATATATAACATATACACATATATATATAACATATATATATGACATAATATATTTATAACATATAATGTACATATATATATATACACAAATAAAACATATATATATAACATATAATATATATTCATGTATGTGATTATGTGTGTTTCCTATACTAAACATCACCAGAATCGTTTGGCCCACTGGATCACAGCCAAGTCTCTGATCTGCGATCATGACCTGCGCGCCCTCCACAAGCACACCATTCCTCAGAAGTTCCCATGGCAGATGGCCACCTATCGTCATGTTGAATGGTGCCGTGACGCCGTGACCCATTGCATTCCCAACACCATGAATATGGATGGATTATTATGGTTTTCAATGCAATATCCAATGAAATCTCCAACTGCTGCATCGCTTCCCCACTAGCTGTTACACCATATGACAATGTCCCTGAACTGCATGCCATGTGGCACAAGGTTCAGGATGACAACCAGCACGAAACCCACAAAGAGTGACAGCACCATACCTCGGTACAATCTTCATGCAGCGGTGCCAGCGGAACAGCCATGGCACTTTGGCACTGCAAACTCCAGCAGCCAAGATGCTGTTCACCACGTACCATGCATTGCTTGGTCCAAAGACCAGGAGCATATCGTGCCAGTCCTCCCCTCCGAAGACTGCTAGGAACAGCGAGTTCATCGAAGCTCGAGTAGATCCCCAGTACGCCTGTCATCGATTTCAGCGCCTATTCGCATCCGAAACAACATATCCATAATATCTCAAATCTTTGGACATCCACTTAACAAACAGATCCAAACAGCTTTCTGAGATGACATGCCTCTTGGCCACCCTGGATTCAACCTCGAGCGCTGAAGATTTACCTTCCTATTTAGACCACTGGCCTGAATTTGCGCAATGTCACCCGTCGACCCCATGAAGTGGCCAGAGACCTCAGCAACGCAAGAGCAAAGCTTTCCTGACCTTTTTGTTTGAGCTGGCTTTGCTCTCGTACTTTCCGCATGGCAGCAGCAACCAAGAAAGGCTGCTGAAAACCTGCTGGTACTTGGTTACCGCAACTGGAATAACACTGAATGAACACTACCAGCTACCAACCTCCAACGGGCCATTCCCCAGTGAGCTTCCAGCCATGGTGAAGTAGAGAGCCACAAGATACATGATGATCATCATCAGCACGGCCGCCCAGAAAAATGAGGACATCGATTGCAGCATCAGGGACAAAGTGAAATGCAACTCTGGCACCAAATGGAACCTCACTTCTGAGTCATGATTATGCCTGGAGGGCATTCAAGAAAGGATTTAGTTATATAAAATCCTAAATCTAATTATTGTGATGAGGGCATTCAGGGCATTCAGGGCATTCAGGAAGCCATGAAACTCAAAACTCTCAACCCAAACCATTCAGTGAAGCAATCTCAGAAGTTCTATTTCTGGCTCTTCCCTCAAGGGAATATGCTCAGCCCTCCGTTCACCATACCAAGTTTGTTGGCCCAGTCACAGGCGAGCCATTCGCGCAACTCGTGCCAATCTGAGGACCCGGTAGAGTCTCATAAGACCTCCATCATCGATGCCAAACATGAAGACACCCGCAACGGCACACACTGCATCCGCCAGCATGAAGATGATCAGCAAGGCATCCAGGATGTTCCAGAAACCTCATAACTCATAATTGTGTCAATTGGTGCCGTACCCCAACCGTTGCACTGCATAGATTCAAGCCAAGCAACCTGCGCAGTGTTTGAAATAGTGCGATCCTGAAGACAGCCATTGACAGCTCACAACTGTCACGCTATACAAGGGGCTAGTAGGGGCTCCTGAAGCTGAAAAGCGGAAGAACAGCTCCACCACAAACCTCGCATTGCAAATTGAGGCTAAGCCTTCAGGTACTGGTCAAAACGTGTCCAACGTCCCAAATGTCGGAGGAATCACGTAGTGACTATAGTGACTCTACAGTCGGGTCACGACATCCAATTTTGGGTACCCAGAATAGACCCAGAACATTTTTAACAGAAGGCCTCAGAGCCGTGAATCTTGCAGACCCCATTGCTGTTGAGGAGCAGAAGGGCAATCAACAGCTCTATCACGTCAAGAAAAACTGAACGTTCATTGGGACCAGCATCCTGTCAGAGCCAAGCATTGACAGCTCCAGGGCCCAAAAGGCTTTGAAAAAGAAGAGCCATTGAGGCCATTGCAGCTCTGGCCCGGATTCAAGCACAATCAATTTGCAAAGCGCAATCTATTTGCTGTTGCACCACATGTGCTGCGGACCCAGGGGTTCGGGATGCACAGCCCGGTTAACGCGTTGTGGTTTCATCCTGCCCCACCCAACCCGCAAAAACTGCCCCACAAGTCGATAGCTCTTTCCAAGATGGAACCCAGCTGGAAATAAAACTCCATGCCAAGTTTCTGCTCGGAACCCAGCAACAACTGCATTAAGAATCACGACCATGGCAAAGAACATCTCGAAGCTCTGGCTCCTTTCAGAATTGAAGCAGAGGTCAACCATCCAATTCTGTTTGCTTCTCCAAAGTGGAGAGCAAATACTTCACAACAAGTGCGCGATCTTGGTATTGGATGAACATTGTTGTGTCGATCATTGTTTGCAAACAGGGTGCAGAATAGTGTTTGGATTTTTGGGGTGTCAGGTTTGAGAATTGTTTTTGGAATTCTGTTCTTGTACCATTTGCCTTGTATTTGCAAAAGTAAGTAGAATCTGTCATTTTGCATGGTATTTGCTACATGTTGGTACTTCAAACGTTCATGTGGGTTTCTTTCGGGATCTTTAGGGTTTTTTTAGGGTTTCATTTAGGGCGTCATTTTGGGTTTCTTTAGAGTCATCTAGGGTACAGTATCTTTAGGGTGCATCTTTAGGTTTTTACTAGGGTTTCTTTAGGGTATCATTTATATAGGTATATAGGGTTCTTTAGGGTGTCATTTAGGGTTTCTTTAGGGTTTCATTTAGGGTTTCTTTAGGGTTTCATTTAGGGTTTCTTTAGGTTTTCTTTAGGGTTTCATTTAAGGTTTCTTTAGGATTTCTTCAGGGTTTCATTTGGGGTTTCTTTAGGGTGTCGTTTAGGGTTTCTGTCGGGTTTCATTTAGGGTTTGTTTAGGGTTTCTCTAGCGTTTCATGTAAGGTTTCATTTAGGGTTTCATTCATGGTTTTTTTAGGGTGCCATTTAGGGTTTCTTTAGGTTGTCATTTCGGGTGGCTGTAGGGTTTCATTTAGGGATCCTTTAGGGTTTCATCTAGGATTTCTTCAGGGTTTCATCTAGGGTTTCATTAAGGATGCAAAAAGGAGACAATAAAGCAAAAGAAAAAGAAAAGCAAAGCAGAGAAGCAGAAGAGAAGAAAGAAGTAGAGCAGCAAAACCACATGACCGAAGAAAAGAAAAGTAGAAGTAGAAAAGCACAGAAGCAAAAAAGCAGAAAACAGAAGCAGGAAAAGCAAAACGCGGAAAAGCAAAGAAGCAGAAAAGAGAGAAGCAAGAAAAGCAGAGAAGCAGAAAAGCAAAGAAGCAGGAAAAGCAGAGAAGCAGGAAAAGCAGGAAAAGCAGAAAAGCAGAGACCCAGGAATCCAAAAAGAAAAACGTGGCCATTACCTAGCCCAAGAAAATATCCACAAATAAATAGCCACTAAATAGCCCTCCAAAGAAACTCGTCCTGACAAAGGACTGTAGGCGCGTCTTCACTGGCTGCTGCCGAGACTTCATCAAGTGGTCATCTACGACTTTGGAGATGTCCTTTGCAACCTGAGTGGTCAAAAGCCCCTGCAGTCTACAAGTCGACTCAGCTGTCAAACCATGAATCACCAGCACAGAAATGCAACAAGAAGCGAAGAGACACGCACGGTTTTGACGGCAAGATGATACTGTGATAAGATGATATTCAATGATATTCAATGTGAATGACAAGAATAACCTCAATTCCAAAATAAAGGGCGTTCTTCTCACCATGACGCCACTGATTGCCAACCCAAGCTGCATCAGAAGTAGCACCAGCAAGGGCAGAATAAAAGAATCAGCAGCAGCCTCTATTTCAGCCCCGACCTCCTCCCCAGCAAAATAATCCGTCTCTTGGTCCTCCTCCTCTATAACGTCATCATCGTCATCATCATGTCAGCATCAACAGCAGATACAGCAGACCGTCTAATTTCCTACACATTGACTCCGCCGTCGGTCGGGAGCGAGTTCTCCTTCATGGACCAGTTGATTGTTGACAGCAACAGCTGCCATCGCCACTATGGCGGGCACTGCTTCTCTTCAAGTTGTTCCAATCTCAATCATTGACATTATCAGCATTCTAAATGTTGTAAGCTCCCCACACAGTAGTTCAGCTACTAGATCCCAATATGGACCAAGGAGATTTTGCTAAGAAAACCTTTGAAACACGGCAAGAACAAAACAGCAGTTCCCGATTCCAACAACGGTTCTACCACCAAGGAGCCGTGTTGGGAGAGCTGCTACACTTCTTGGCTGAGGCAGCCGAGCTCGCTGAACTCTTCACGTCACAGTTGTCATCCCCCGCATTGGCATCTCCTGCTTTGCTGCCTCCAGCGAGGTGACAGTACCCAAAGCCCCGTGACATTCCCGCACCTCATGCCCTTGCTGCCAGATAGATTCAAATAAATAATGAATGAATGAATGAATGAATGAAGGAAGGAATGAATGAATACAGAAAATACAGTAAATACAACAAATACAGCAACTGAGTAATCGGATAGAGCTGGTATGTGTTTTTTTTTCCATTTCCTCTCCTGCAACACTCAATTCAACTAGCAGCCGTGGTCGCTGAATGTAAGTAGCTGAGGATTCTTTGTCCCGCAAGCCACAAGAATGTATCTGCAAAGAGATTCAAGAAATCAACATGTCCGGCAACAATTTCAACAAATCATGGGTTGACTAGTGAGGTGGATACTACATGTCATATCCAACAGCTCTTGGCCCAACTCATGGCAATTTCCATTGCTGGGCATCGTCACTTGCCGAGACAACCCTCTTGCAATCGGGCCAGTTTTTTCGACTCCAGAAACATATAATGCAAACTCAGGGCTCCAAGAAGCACATGGATCAGCAGAAAAATGGTCTCAATCACATACCTGGACACATCCACAATGGGAAAGGTGCCATAATCCACCTTCACCACAGCAGCTAAGGTGTTTTGTCCACCCACCAAGGCCAGAAAAGTGAAGCTCAGCAGAATGTATTTATCCAATAGAGTTAGGTAACTGATCTTTGGCAGCTCTTGAGCCACCATATATTTGAAGGCCACCGAGGTCAATACCAAGGTCAAGGTGACCGATAGGCGATCCGCCAGATCTTCAGGGGAGATGGCGAAGGAAGTGAAGACCAAAACGCTCAAGAGGAAGTTGGGCAGGCCAATGTTCCACATGTAATATGCTGCCCTTCTCTGTCCAATGAAGTAAATATGAAGTAGAGGATATCTTTTCCTCTCCTCATCAACTCCGCCTTGCATCAATGGGCCAGAAAGATCAAAGTCCGTCATCACCGTGAATTGGTTCCGCAGGATGGATTTGGCACCTGTGTAGCGATCTTCAAGCAAAGTGACCTCTGAGGAAGGCCGATTACAACTCACAGTAATTGTTAAAGCCTGGACGTCGAAGGGAAAGTGCTCCAGCTCAAAGCCTTCCCTGAATGTCCCTCGGCAATCTGCCCTCCACTGCATGACCTTTTCTCCCAAAGGCCCTTTTCGCCAGGGACAAGCACTGAGTTCAATGTCGCTCATTTCAACCGGTGACGCGGAGTTCATGAACACTAGATTGGGATGCCACTCCTCATCCGCTGGCGACTCAACTGGCTCCTTCCACATGGCACGAAGGAAGAAGTGGCAATCAAAGGTTTGTGCCACTGTATCGATCCCAGACAATGAGAAGACGTTCACATAGATGTAGACTTGTCGGTGAGGTGTGGAACTCTCCCGATCCGTGGGAGCAACTATGTCATGAACGTTGACTTTCACAAAGGGTTCGGGCTCTTCATCTGTGGCGACCAATCTGCTGTAGTGAGCTCCATCCTTTTCCATTGCGAAAACGGTAGGGAATCGATCACATAGAACGGTTGGGATAGAGCTGGGATGTCTGCAATGCTTTATTTAAAAAAAAAACATCTTTCTGCCGTTTGCTGCTGCCACAAATCTCTGTCATGAAAGGGTTCTGGTACCTGACCCCTGGGGGCACACCTACTAGCCCCGTACTGTACCAGCTAAAAATATCTCCCCCAACACCTGGAGTCTCTTACACAAGCGCGAAAGCGAGCCTTCCTCATCCTCTGCTTTCTTGTGGCTAGGCACGCCTGGACCGAAGGAAAGGGGGCTTGAAGCAGTGTGCAGAAGTGTGACATCTGACTTTTTGCACTGTTGCAAATGGTCACAAGAATCCAAGCGTAGGTCGCCAAGACAGATGGCACAGAAATGGATATCACATGTCATGCTTTGGCTCTCAAGCTGGCAACAGGATTGTACAAGGATGCGGCAGAAACTGAGGATTCCCAGATCTTGCACGGGTGCTGTTCTCAGCTCTCAGCTCCCTACCGAACTCATTCAAATTCGGAGTCGGGAAGTCCTTGGCCCAATCCACAAGGCGTTAAAAACAGAACATCTTTCTTCAAGACATCAAGTCCTTGGGTCCGAATGCACATGACACTGCAATAACTAATTCGTAGATAGTACTACCTGCATATACATACATACAACACACGCACACACACACACATATATATGTATATATACATACATACGTGTGTGCGTGTGTGTACACCTATATCTGTGTATGTGCACTGTATGAAATGATATTGGTTGATAATATCCATTATATGTGCCATTAGAATTGGGGGGATGGGTGCCAGGTTCAATCACCACCGACCAGTTCTTGGCCGGCTTTGCAGGCAAGAAACCTTGATTCCTGTGTTTTCCCCTCAGGAATCGGATGCCAACTATGGCGAAACCGCTAACCAAACTGCTGGAGCATCTAGATGCTGAAACTGACACAACATGACACAACCCCTGTGAGCTATGTGAGCCGCACAGTCCAGGCACCAGCTAAATTCCATCCTGTGAGGGAGCCACAAATAGCCCCAAGCTCTTTCCTGGCGCATCTGCAGTGTCATCATAAGTGGCAACCGTCAGCTCTGCGGCTGTGTTAGGTGCTCTTGCAAATGGAAACCGCGCCAAAAATGACGCAAAGGAAAGCAGTGGTCCTTGTCTCATGAAGGATTCGCTCCTGCACTACAGCCAGTTCTTTTCGGAGGATCTCCTTGGAAAGAGCTGAGGATGGACTGATAGACGAACAGTCAGTACTGTGCAAACGAGAGACTCGAAGGACATCTTGGCTGGCAGCGTCGAGCATGGGCTCCGAAGGATGGGCGGTCGAGCCAAAATACCGGCGGTCGTCGGGTCTACTGTACTCTGGGCCCTTCACTACTTTCATGTACGATGGGGCCACTAGGGCACCAATGGTACCAAGACAATCCAATCAATCCAATTCACTTTGGCAATAATGTTGTAGACAAATGTCTTAGCAAACAAATGAATACCAAACTCAAATAGCATTTTGCTTTGCAGGGTATAGCATGTCATGTGAATCTCGCGCCTGGAAATCTAGAAAGCAATTGGAGGTGACCGATTCCCACAGCCATCGGACTCGGCGGCTTTTAAAGCACGTAAAGTGGGCAGCTCGCAGGTCAGTGGCACACGGCGTGCGAGAGGTCACAGGACCTTGGAATCAACACCATTCAATACTATTCAACACCCAGCTGGGAAAGCGCCAACATGCTGCTGTATCCTATTATATACTGATTTAATCTACTTTACATACTCTTAATATACTATAGATACACTATCAACCTACTATTTTACATATGTATGTAGATATATATATATATACATATATATATATACGTATATATAACTTGCATGCTAAGAAGCTGAACTGCTTTCTCTACGTCTTTTTCAGCTCCTTGGCCACTTGCTGCCACAACTCCGGTGCTGCCATGGCTTGCTGTGCCAAGGCTGGCTGCAATGCGTTGGAGAGCTCCTGCAGTACCCCCAGCATGTCTGCAGCTGAAGGGAAATTATGTATGCACACACACACATATATATATATATACATCTCAAAGTGTTATATGAAACTCGATACTACTCGCTCTTCCGCAGCTTTCCTTTTTCACAGCACTGCCAATGTCAATCACATTTCACCTGCAATCCTCAGGTTTGCTTTGGGTCGTCACGTTGTGACATGTACATAGCCTCAGACCAGTATCACCACTGGTCAGCTGCCTGGCAACCCAGGCTGGAACCTGCTCAGCAGGTATCACCCATCCCTTAAACCTAAGGGAGGGAAGGCTCTCTTGGTCGCCCCAAGAGAGGGTCCCCGAAAGAGGCTATGGACTCGCCTGCCGTGCAGGCTCCCCTAACCTAGGCGGACATCTCCACGGGAGGTCGGCTCTTAGGGTTGGGAGGGTGGGGAAAGAAAACAGCAATGAATGCTATTTTGGTTCAAGTTTACTTGAGCCAAAATGATAGCATTCATTGAACACTTGAAGATGATACATGCACACCCAAGCCTGCCAAACTCGATGCATGGGTACATCTCAAAGTGTTATATGAAACTCGATACTACTCGCTCTTCCGCAGCTTTCCTTTTTCACAGCACTGCCAATGTCAATCACATTTCACCTGCAATCCTCAGGTTTGCTTTGGGTCGTCACGTTGTGACATGTACATAGCCTCAGACCAGTATCACCACTGGTCAGCTGCCTGGCAACCCAGGCTGGAACCTGCTCAGCAGGTATCACCCAATGCACTCAAATCCCCAAAGCACTATAGGAATTCAAAGGTGAGAATGACAGCGACGAACGGCAGCTGGAAAAAGATAGTGGGAAGGTACGACGAATAAAAGTCAAAACCATGGCATCGCCACCATGGGTCCTCAGCGCCGAGGCGGCTGATGTCATCAGCCCAGTTGCTCTTGCTCTGGACGTACTCCCAGTAACCCTGGGCTCGCAGTGCAAACAGAGCTAGATGGATCAAATGACCTAGCTTGGCTAAGTCGGCATTGCTAGAACGTCCTCTCACTAGCGTCATGACGGCTGCAACATTGTCCAGAAACCAAAGCCCGTGTCGATTTCGAAACAGGTCAGGTCGTTCCACTAAGGCGTACAGCACCATCGAGAGCTCCAACTGGGCGATGTGTGTGTCTGCAGGCTGCCATAATTTCTGAAGCTCTGCACAATTGTTGGCTACAAAACTGTGACGTATCTGGGATCCGTCATGCTGGAAAAAGATGAGGTGAAAACCTCCGGAACCTGGATTGTCAGCTTCCACCGCAGCATCCGAAGCAGCAAGGAATCGTAGGTTGTCCAGGTGAAGAACGGGAAACTCCCGTTTTGGCTGAAAGCGCATCACTGCTTCGATCACCTCGAAGCATGCTTCAATCTCAGGGGTTACCGCTGTAGTGGTTTCACCCTGTCTGGCTTTGATTGCCATCAGGCCACCATATCCTACACGGCCATAAATACCCTGCTCCAGGAAATTCGCTAGGCCATACAACTTCGCAGCTGTGCCACAGCTGAAGTGACCTGTAGTCCTGGCCGTAGTGAGGAGGTCGCGAACTTTATCATGAAGGCGTTCACGGGCCCAAAACCGGACATGCCCTGTCTGGTTGATGCAGTCGAGGTCATGGGTTAGGCCCAAAAAGGTGCCTGTGCTCTGCATTGACTGCTTCTTGTCCTCAGCAAAGGGGGAGCCGATCAGCTTGCAAAGCTGGTTCATGGCCCATTGTCCGGAGCCTTTGGAAGAACGTAGGTCGGTGATGGTCGCATCGTCGAAGTAAAGAGATGTCAAAACTTGGCAAAAACGCCTGGCTAGAGCTTCCAACAACCGGGAAAAGCGGTTGAATGACGTGACCGCTAACGGAAGTCCAAAAAGGAGGCCTGCATAGATCTGATATGCTGGAGTTTGCCATTCATGGTGGTACCACACCACCACACAGCCTAAGCTTTCCTGCATCGCCATGGGGCAATACCGGTAGGCTGATGGGAGATCTTCTTGGCCTCTCTCCCAGGCATCGTTGGCGAAGAAGTGGTCGATGTCCTCGGCTGTCCATTTGTGCATCACCAAACGAATGTGCTGGGCCGGGCGCAAAGGGCTGCACAAGGTGAGCTTGTTGGCATCAGAGGAGAGGGCTGATTGTCCTCCAGTGTCGCCATTGTCGATCACTCTCTGCTTGCCAGAGCTCTGCGTGATGACACAACGAGGGATCAGACGATGTGCTCGATTGCCAATGAGCCGCAAAAACTCGGCTCGTCGCAGAGGTGCGGTGCAAAAACCGTTGTTGGCATCCTCCATGGATTGTTGCAAGAGAAACTCGTCATCTTTGCCTGCTCGCAGCTGTTTCAGGATGTGCTGGTTGTGCTCCTGCCATCCATCCAAAACATCTGCCATGCTGATCACCTCAGCCGGCTGCTGGGGAAAAATTCCATAGGGTGGCGCGTAGCCCACCGCCGGCAAACCACAGATCAAGCCAAAGGGGAAGCTAGTGTCAGCCCAAGATGTCAACACCATCAACAATGCAATGAGCCCCATATCTCGATGTTTTGTGACTTGCTGCACGGCGGTTTCTTGAAACGCTCTCAAGTGGAGGGTCACCCCCTCCCAGCGTCTCTTCAGCTCGCGCAGTGCCCCCACTGCCTGTTGCCTCCACGGCCTCAGCGATTTGGTCGGGGATGCATATGCCTCGGCCACGAACTCCAAGTCCATGTCGGAGACTGGAAGGTCTTCATATGGCAAAGGCCGCTGGGCCCGTTGGAGGGCTTGGTGGAAATGATCATCTGGCTCCAGGTTGAACGCCAGGAGTGGTGGTAGTGCTGCTCTATGCGTCATTGCACCGACTTGGCATCCATCTCCAATTCGGGCCATTTGCCTCACGGACCCCGCAGCAAGGTGGGGGACTAAAGGACCGTCCCAAGCCTCACCACGCTCTGCCAACCATTCTGCGTAGGAACAAAACGGCGGGCTGTTGATGAGGTCCTCCACCATCGCAAACTTGTAGCTCCTGAACCAATGCTCGGGGAAAAGCTTGCGAAAGGCCAGCACTACTGCCTCTTGGCTCATCATGGGTAGGGCTACTCCTTTGGGGATCGCTTGAATACCTTGCAACAATGTAACTGCCCGGCTCCATTTGCCATCTGTGCCTCTGCTGCCTGGGTCGCCCCCAGGAGCCATGGCATCGAAGTAGAGTCCAATGAGCAGATCGGCCTCGCAAAGTTGCTCCATGGGACAGTCGCAAGCTAAGGCCATGCCCTTGAGCTCATGCAGGGCGTCCCACAACGGCGATGTGCGGATATGGACAATGTACCGTGCATGCCATTCTCCAGCCTCGCAATTGTGGCCTGGTGTCCAAGGCGATTTCCACTTGGTCGTCGTCAGCCGATGGTGGAAGCTGCCTCGCCCGACATAGATTGTCTGGTGCGGCAACTTGTCCTTCTCGATCATGACGTCCTGTGCGAGCTTCCTGACTGGTAACCCCGGTCGTTCGGCTCGCAGGGATTCTGTCAGCCCGAGTGTCACCGCCAAAGGTGCCATGGCCCACTCTCGCATTGCGCGAGGGTCCATGTCCAGCCAATGCTCCCTTAAGAATTCGCCCCACAGCCAGAAATGTGGGCATGCGAGGAACTTGCAACTTGGCCATCCCTCGACGGGCTGCCCACCAACTCGCTGAGACTGCAATGGAGAAAGCAAGGATTGCCGTGTACTCTGCCTCTTCTTTAGAAGGGTAAACTCTGATGCCCTCAGATGTGTATAGGGGGTCCATTCTTGTGGGTCATGCACGTGGTGGCAATTGGCTGGGGGCCATCGCTGGATCTCCTCCACATTGTGCCGCAACACCTGATGCTTGCAACGTGCGCCACCTAAGGTGCATGCTGCGTACGATGTGTCAACCCATTGTCCAGACTCCCACATGGTCACCTCTGCTGAAGTCCACCAGTGCAAAGAGCGGGCAGGATTCTCTCGTACACTGCCTCCACCTCTGTCTCTCAGCTTCTGGATCTCTCCCAAGACGTAGTTGCATGCCTTGTTGTCCATGTCAACCCTTTTGGCATCTCTGCCAGTCAAATGAGGCAGGCCATCTGGGTAGACTTCAGAGCGGAGAGGGCCAGGTGCTGGCCTGCCATCTTCGAACCTCCGAGGAATCTCTCTGGCTCGGCTCTTGGTGGAGCAATCTATGGCCGCTGCAATGAAGATCACCTCTTCAAGTTGCTTGCTCAAAGATCGTTGCCTGCGCTCGTCCGAGAGGTCATGGCTCTCGTCCAGCAACCAGTCGACTGTCAGGCAGCTCCAACCACAGCTGATAAAGGCTTTGGTAAGAGGGGCATTGGGACCCGCCATAAGATCCGCCATCAGAGGTCGCCCCTCCTGCGGCTCTATGCCGTCTGACCCAAAAGAGGCAGCCGCCTCCTCTTCTGGGGTGTGTCAACGCTTGCCGGTGCAATTGGCCGCCCCATGGTTGAAAGCTCCACACACTCGGTCTTTCCTGATAACCGCTGCGCAACGGTGGGCTCCTTGGGGGCATGGCTTGGCTTTGCACCCTCCACGTTGAAACTGGGGGCAAAGTTTGGTGCCGTCCTTCATGGCCGTGGCCACCTGTTTGCCATTGATCGGTTTCCCCAACTTCAAAGGCGAAGTACTGGGCTGGACTTTGGACGGACTCGCAGTCGAAGCTGCCGTGGGGGCAGTGGTCTTCTTCTCCGGAGTAGCCGGCCCGGGGGCTGACCAATGCGCATCCCTGGAGGTGTAGATTTCGCTGATCACCTGGCCCAGGCTCATGGTGGATTCACGGAACTTGGAGACCCATTCGCTGCGCTCCTCCACGTCCTTGGCCTGCAGCCATTGCATGCGCTGTGACGCAGGGAGCCCTGTCACTGTGCGCTTGGCCCTGAAGTAGTACTTGTAGACTACATCCATGGGGACGTTGACAAACTTCACTGTGTCGGCTCCCAGGTTGAGCTCCTGAGCAGGGTCTGGCGCTCCGGTCAC